CCTATGAAAATGCGTCTTAGAAAATTTCACCAACTTCCAAGGGCGATTACTCCAAAACCATTCAAGATATCAACATGCCTTGAACAAATTAAGGTGTCCAGAGTATAGGCTTTCCAACGGCGTAGTGAACGCGATTGTACTGTATGATGTTCTGGAGAGGAGATTTTTAAACACAGGCACCGTCAAAAGGTGAAAATCGGCAAAAAATTCAGTTTTTTCAAAATTGCGGAAAATTTGACCTGCCGGCCAACTGCCGGTATGTGTTGAATCGACGGGGAATGGTGTTGTCTACATTGAGTGAAAATTTGGTCAATTTATCTCTTATACTTTTTGAGTTATTCAGGTGTAAAGATTTCGACATTTTGGGTTGTCTGCCCTTACCGGAAGCCAGAAGTCGGGATTTTTTTCGACTATGTATTAATTTCAGCACACAGGCTATCACCCCTGAAAGTTTCACGAATATCGGCCGAGTGGTTAGGTCAGGAGAGCTGTCACAAAATTTGTACAAATAATAAGAATAATATTCTGATAATAACAGTATGTCTTCCAGACATTCGTCTTAAGACCTAATAACTAGGATTGCCTCCTGGGCAATACTGACAGTCTTCAGACTTCCTCATACACTCCCCGTGGCTACCTTTACTTATCCTGTTTCTTTGGACACCAACTGGATCGCCCATTACAGTGTTTCTGAGATAGAATTACCAAGAAAGTAAATGTTAGTTAATGTGAAATGTTGATTCAATTCAGCTGACACAAACTGCAGAAAAACAAAGAGGAACGCACAGCCAAGCACAGCCAAGGAAATGAGCAATATACAATATACAGTATACAGACATATACTAAAAGAGAGATCACTGGTAAATGTTGCTGATTTTGTTGTTATGAAAATGTCAAGTATGATCCTGTCACAGAAACTCAACTCAACTCAGGCTGGCACACAAACTGCTGGAGAGATTAGATCCTGCCAATTCCAGAACACTAGCTCTTTTGACAGTAGATCTAAGAAGAATGGAGCTGGGGCCTGTTAAAGAGGGAACTATTTCTCTGGGCATTGGAAAGCCAGGAAGTGGTGAATGTTGCTATATTTTACTGGTACTTCCTTCACCTATCTCACCACTAACAAAATGCGCTAAATCCGAATGTTCGGGTTTGTGTCGTAATTTAGATGTAATTATTGACTTTTACATGATCATAATGTGAAGCAAAAATGTTCCCCATTCAATGATCTACAGTTTGGTACCATGGAAAACGAAATCCATTGTGTTTTTTGCAGAGCTGTGACATTTTTATGAACCCTATGAAAATGTGTCTTGGAGAAATTGACCAACTTCCAAGGCTTATAACTCTACAACTATTCAAGATATCAACATGCCTTGAACAAATTAAGGTGTCCAGAGTATAGGCTTTCCAACGGCGTAGTGAACGCGATTGTACTGTATGATGTTCTGGAGAGGAGATTTTTAAACACAGGCACCGTCAAAAGGTGAAAATCGGCAAAAAATTCAGTGTTTCCAAAATTGCGGAAAATTTCTTCTGCTGCCTGACTTATTGTATATGTTGAATCGATGGAGAATGACGTTGTCTACATTGAGTAAAAACTTGGTCAGTTTATCTCTTATAGTTTTGGAGATATTGAGGTTGAAATATTTTGAAATATTTTGACATTTTGGGTTATCTGCCCTGACCAGAGGCCGGAAGTCGGGATTTTTTCAACATTGTATCAATTTCAGCATACAGGCTATCATCCCTGAGAGTGTCATGAAAATCGCCCCTGAGGTCAGGTCAGAGATGTGACATTTTTATGAACACTATAAAAATGCGTTTTGACAAAATTGACCAACTTCCAAGGGCAATAACTCCAAAACTATTCAAGATATAGACATGCCTTGAAGGGTTTATGTAGTACTAAGTGTGGGCTTTAATACGATATATCAAACATGATTGTGCCATACTGTCAATTTTTCAAAATGGCAGAGAATCTGTCATAGCGGCCAACTTCCGCTATGCGTTGAATCAATGAAGAAGGATGTTGTCTACATTGAGTGAAAATTTGGTCCATTTATCTCTTATAGTTTTGGAGATATTGAGGTTCAAAGATTTCGACATTTTGGGTTGTCTGCCCTTACCGGAAGCCGGAATTTTTTCGACTATGTATCAATTTCAGTACACAGGTTATCACCCCTGAAAGTTTCATGAAAATCGACCCAGTAGTTACTTCAGGAGAGCTGTCACAAAATTTGTACAAATAATAATAATAAGAAGAAGAATATTCGGATAATAACAGTAGGTCTTCCAGACGGTACAGCGATGGGAGTAAACCAGGTGAAGTCCTTCACCAAGTCTGCCCAGAGTCAGTCTTTTGTGGAGAAGCTTTCTGAGAAGCCATTGCATCGTGTGTACATGCAGTGTGTGGAACAGAATAGCAATCCCACCGACTCCTTCACCTGGATGAAGTCAGCTGGTCTCAAATGTGAAACTGAGGGCTTCCTTTTTGCTGCTCAGGACCAGTCACTTCCCACTCGCAATCGCCTAAATGTGATTCTTAAAGAGAATATTAATATGAAATGTCGACTTTGCAATGAATTCACAGAGACTGTCCAACACCTTCTCAGTGGATGCCCTTCCTTGGCACAAACAGCATATCTTAAACGACATGATGGCATGGCTCGTTGCTTTTACTACCGTCTCCGACATGCCTGTGGCTCTGACTCCCGAGGTCCATCCATGGTACGACCCTGAACACGTCCAGGGCGTCATGGAAAATGATGCTTTCAAACTTCTCTGGAATAGGCCCATATACAGCCTTAGAAGAATTTCTGCCAACAAACCTGATCTTGACCTTTTTGATAAAGCCAATGAATTTATTTATATCATTGAATTTTCTGTCCCTTTTGACAGCAATGTGATTGGCAAGATTCAGGAAAAGCATGATAAATATGCGGACCTCGCCTTTGAAATGTCTCGCTTGCATCCCAAGTACCCTGTCGTCAGGCTCCCCATTGTTCTCGGTGCCCTTGGTTTGGTACCTCCTGATCTCTTGGCTAAGATCAGGAGAGTGCCCGTGTTCTCCACCAGGAGCACAGCCCTTCTGACACTCTGGGTAATGCAGAAGGCTGCAGTGTTGGGGAGCCTTCATATTCTCCGGAAAGTTCTTGGTGGGTTCGACTAGGCAGTGTTTCCTGGGAGAAGTCCCATTCACTGTGTGGGCTGTCTGTAGTAGGGGGGGGAAGGCCCTGAGCTGATGATGAGCCTAACCAGCCTGACTGTGCCCGGACCACCCGAACCCTCTCTGCTGCATACTATCTTTAATCTGTAAAACATAATAATATTTATAATAATAATAATCCGAGCGATTACAATAGGTCTCATGCCTAGAGGCAAGGAGCCCTAATTAGATATGTCATATATAACATATATTTCTGGCGGCAAATTACCATGTACAATGTCATGTATTTCTTTCTATCACTCAATTGCCAATCTTCACTGTTAATCCTCATCATTGTTACCTTGTATATTGACTCGTTAGCCACCCTGTACCCATACTTCGCTCTTCATTAATAACTGTGTATATATACTACCCATCAAAAGTTTAGACTCAATAGTGTAAATTTAGCCACTTACTTCAGTAAACTGTTCTAAACTAGATTTTGCAAAATATCTCATACTGTTTAAAGGTATTCTTTACACATGAACTGATGTATTGTAAAACAAATTTGTAACGTTAAAAAGATTATTGTCATGAGTTCAATAAATGATGAAACTAATTTGTAACAAAACTTTACACCAAAACGCAGCTGTTCACATGCATGATATTTGCACAAGCTTTTCAACAATTTGATGTATGATCATCGTGGAATTCATCTGCATAAATTTTGCTGCTGGTTTGCTGCCCCCAAATTAGTGGAGAAATTCATCTTCAATGAAATCATATATATTTATATAACATATAATGAGTGCTTTAAGTGAGTCTTAACTTTTGATGGGTAGTATATTATGACATACACATCCTCATCAGTGTATATTGAATTGTTAGCCACCCTGTACCTGTACTTCACTCTTCATTTCTGACTGTATGTTATTTCTTATCTCTACTGATTGTTCCTTGAACATCTGAATAATAATGATAAACAATTTGATGTCATCTTGTGTGGGAAAGTCATGCCAGGTCTTGTCGGTAGCTCAGTTTTCATTCATGCCTCATGATCAGGGACAAAGTTGTCTCTTACCCAATGACATTTTAGGAGCAATATTAACCTTTTCTGCCTCAGTGCTATCTGTAGTGTTTCTGTTGTCCTTTCTAGATTTTTAACAGATGTAAGATCATATAAGATATAAAACTAATTGCCAAACAATCAGTTAACATTCTTCATGCACAGCGCCAACTAGTCAGTGTCATCAATGAGCCTCTGTTACTGTAAAAATGAAATAATGGCAGTAAGTATGTTTAAAAGGCTTATCTGTCATCGTGTTTGTCTGTCAGGGTTGAAAACTGAATTTGTAACCTGACTGACTAGGTTTCCTAACATGGTAGTCGCTATCTGTGTGAAATAAGAACAGCCATCTGTTTGAATACTGTATTCTTGTCACATAACTCATGCTTCACATGGGATGGTGTCACGATCAAGCTAAAAAATGCTGACTTGAAATGGTAAGGGTAAAAAGATGGACTTTGATACAGGCAGGTGGACACTCTTGCATAGGGTGTTCATCTTTGCACCCTATGTATTTTTCGGGATTTCGTCTGGACTGTTTGTTACAGTGACACAGATAATTTGTTATTTGACGCTCAAAATGCATGAGGAAATCAGGGCGATATACATTATATTTGAGAGTAAAATATATGTGACGTAGCAGACATCTCAAAATTACCATATGGAAAACATGATTTTGTAAAGATTATCCAGTATGGTAGACAGTTCACTTTGTGTTTAGATTTGTCTACTTTCTAAAACATTTGAGTTTTGGAACATATTTGTGTAGAATTAACTTAGTCTTACCTGTCTACTGGAATCTGCCGTCTTGGTACATATTTGTGTTTACTTTCATCTCCATTTACAGAGCATGACAACAAGGCTTCTCTCTCAGTGATATCTGCCATATATTCTGCCATGATACTGTTTGCTTCTCCAACGTTGCAAAGTTTGCAAAATTGTAAATCTACCAAACTCTTCTATTTACAGCCATTAACTAAAGGAACTATTAAGTACATATCGTCGGTTGATCATCACTCATCTTTCCATTAACTCTGCAACAAAAACACAGACGTGAATTAGTGACAAAGAGCTAGTTTATAAGTTTATATGACAGCTTATGTCACGTGCAGCTGGTTAGAAATAGAATCGAAAGGTCAATATACATGTACCTGTCATTGCCACCGGAAAATTTTCAGATTTTTGTCACTTTCACAAGAACAAACAGATATAAACGTTCAAGTGTGTTGGAGTAGATCGTGTGTTGATCGTTTACAAAAGAACAAGGTACCACTCTAAGTACTGTCAAGAGTTCGAACAGGAGAGGAAGTGAACCGGTGCTACAATTAGATTCGTATGAAGTGACTAACAACACGAACTTTGCTCCATATTTACTTCGCCATATTGACAATCAATCGGAATTCCTCGACTAATTCCGTGACTTTTAAAAACTCCGAATGAAACAGGAAGTAGCATGAACTAGCGCATGCGTATCATGTACCACGTGTTGAAACAAACATGGCGGGGTATCCCCTGGATTTCTCGCAAAACGGCGAAGTTCTGGCTTATTCAAGCCCGGACGGAGTTCTTAAGCTATGGGATTCATCAACGGGACAATTAAATAAAGAGTACACACCAAGCTCTCACCTGTCAGCGACATGCAGCTGCCTGTCATGGGGCCCAGGACGGCACTTGTCGGTAGTGAATATTTGCCACTTACCTAGGCTATACGATGTTGTTTTACTAAAACGTTTTTCGATTTTGTTGTGTGTATGATTTAACGAACTGTATGCATTTGAAACCTCTATTTCTTTTCGCGGACCATCATGTTAGTAAAGTGTTATGAATTAGTGTACGCGTAACGATAAATGATGCACGTTGCGAAACATAAACGCGTGTTGAATATAACGCGTGGTTCAAGGTAAATCTAGTAGACACGTCAATAACCCCGATAGCTGCCTTTGGTTTTGGAAATTCGTTTGGTTCGAAAGTGTAACGATGATATGTAATGGGCACACAAGAAAACAACAGCTTGTGATGAACAGATTTAAGACCACTCCTACTGGCCCTGAACAAACCCAAAATACAGAAAGTACCCGGTACCCAAAACTGCGGCGGGGGGGGGGGAGTCCATATTCCGTAAACCAAATCCGAAACCGTAAGTAGTTCCTGTTTGCCTGATTGCGAATGATACTGTGTACCACGAAATATTCGTTACTGTCTATGTTCGTTCCTAGTTTTGGTTGTTTTAGACCACACTCGGCAGTATTCCAGCTATATGGCGGCGGTCTGAGAATAATCGAGTGCTGGACAAGAAAATCCAGCGTAACAACAGCATGAGCATCGATCAACCCAATTGGGATATGATGGCATGTGTCAACCACGTCAGAGGCTGACCACCCGATCCTGTTACTTGCCTCTCTCGACAAGCATGGGTTACTGAAGATCAATTCTAACCCGGATCTTTACATGTTTGTTTGTTTCTAAGATATAACACAATGAAATCCATCTCATACAACAGCATGATAGTTCTGATCAAGAATGGAATGGACTCGTCTTAGTGTACATTTCTGTATTCTGATTTTGGCTAGGGTACGTTTCTGTATACAGTAATGTACCTGTGGTACATATCTGAAGTACCCATGCTGACAATGATCCCCTCCTCCCAACTAGCAAAGTCTGGCTAACATAGCAAATATCTCCCAATTGAGTGATAAAAATTCTAGTAAAAGTTGGAAATAGTTTGGTTTCATGAGTCTCTTAATAAATTGATAAAGTAATTCAGGTAATAAATGTTGAGTGAACTAAATGTGAATTTCTTTCAATAAATGTAAATGTGACAAGAAGCTAGATTTTCTGAAGGTCGGTTGGTTTGCAATGAACATGTAGCAGGGCATGGAGTCATCCCAAAGATGACGTCCTTACCATGTCAGCTTGCTGATGGGGTTAACCTCTTTGGTCTGACTTCAGATCAGAAGGTCCATGGTTCAAATCCCAGCACGGGACTAGGAAATATCATGGCTGCTACATTGTCGCCCAACGTGAGGCTGATCACATTAATATGAAATTTGAGCAAAATACGTCTCAGTACCCTGGTTTGCGACCCAGGACGTGCCTTCTGTTGACGGATGTAGCAGGACGTAGAGTCATCCCACAAATGACATCCTTACCTTGTCAGCTTGTGAACAAGGCATCAGGCTTCATATCAGAAGGTCCGTGATGTCTTTTAGGGGGAGGGTGGTGGGATAGCCTAGTGGTTAAAGCGTGTGCTCATCACGCCGAAGACCCGGGTTCGAATCCCCACATGGGTACAATGTGTGAAACCCATTTCTGGTGTTCTCTGCCGTGATGTTGCTGGAATATTGATAAAAGTGGCATAAAACTAAACTCAGTCAGCCTTTTAGTGACATTTAGAAGTTGTTACAGATGACCAAGATATTTCATGGATTTAAAGAATAAAGAAGCTTAAATCCATAAAAATATCTTGGTCAGAAAATCCGTGGTTCGAATCCCAGCACGGGACTAGGAAATTTTATGGCCATTCCACACAGTAAACTACATTTAAGACGAACACGTTTACAACAAACTGACACATATATGTTTTGTTTTGGGGGGACATGGCTACCGTCTTTATATTTTAGTCTGGAATAATACATAATGAACGACAGTTATAACAAGCAACAATTACTGGTCTCATCGAGTTTATCATGACTGTAGTTTAATGTATGTCTACTGTAGTGAGCTATTAGGATTTGTTGTCCTATCATCCTACATCCTTACTGGATGGTCATGGCACTGTATATCCTGTAACATATGTTATATTTGGGATTACACTTTCTTAGTAAAGTACAAATTCTAGTACTTTTTAAGTTGCGCCCCATCCAGGATTCGAACTCACACAGAGTCGGGCACCTAATCGCCAGCACACAGTCAGCCAACTAACCCATTCAGCGGCTGACTTTGTGTGCTGGCGATTAGGTGCCTGACTCTGAGGGTGTGAGTTTGAATCCCGGATTGGGCTCAACTCAAAAAGTACTAGAATTTGTACTTTACTAAGAAAGTGTAATCCCAAATATAACATGTTACGTTTCACCACTTTCTAAATGGCATTGTGTAATCACTGTTTATCCTATTGTGATAAGATAACACTGTTTGACCTCAACTCAGAATAAGTTTTTCAAGTGCTCAGACAGCATGCGGCAACACTTACTTTTGTGTAGTCCACAAAAAAGCTGTGTTGAAGCTGTTTGTTTCATCCATCTGCTCATGATGGACGTGTATTCAAACCACAAACAGTAACAAGAACTTTAATTTTAAAGTCTCTAAATGTCATTGCGGTCATAATTCCAACTGTTGATCACAGTGTAGCTTCACTTAAAGGAACGATTTACATTTTCTGTGAAACTACACCATCGCTGGGCCATTCCAACACTTGAAACTTTGACTTTGCTTTGACTCATCAATCAATTTCCGAAAGATGAGATATTCTTCTCTCCCTTCATTTCAATTGGGCTTGGTCAGAACTATGCAATGACAACATAAAGAGAAAGTTGAGTGTTTGTTATTAATGGTAACTCAGCTAATTCATTTTCAGACATATGTTGTTTCCTTCTGCTGTATGAAGTACTCTTCCACAAACTTGCTGCAAATATTTTGTCATGGCTTCCAGTACCAACAATCACCTGTTAAGATGGGCAGGGCACAAAATATTTTTTGCTGTTGACTTTGAACGTTTCATCCAATTATGACCTCTGAAAACCATTAGGAAGTGTGGATTATTGATCTGCCACTTGCTCATCCCTCTGTGTTGTAACAGTAACTTTACATTTGGGTATGTTTATTTACCTGACAATAATACATATAACCATACTTAATTCATGATATATATATTTTGTTACAGATTTATTGTGTTAACCAGTTTGTGTTCAGTTTGCATGACCGGATAGTTTAGATTTGTGTGATACCAGTAAACTAATGCTGGCCAAAGTAGTTATCAGGCTGAGTGGTTGCCAAGGCTGAGTGTTTAGTTTTATGCTTCACTTAGCAATAGTCCAGCTATATGGCAGTGTTTTCAACAAATCAGTACAGCTTTAAGACAATAGTCACTATATGGGTGGGTGTAATGGATTACATCATTTTTATGATCCATTGTTAAATCATGATGTGTAAATCATTTTTTTGTGTTTACAATGATGAATTGTGTTTAGGGCACTCCAAAGAGAAAAAGAAGAAAGAAGTCAAGTGGTGGAATGGAAGAAATTGAGGATCTTGACCTCATAGCAATTGGAACAACCAATGGGAATATTCTTTTGTACAGTGTCGCCAAAGGAGATATCCACACTCAGTTTGTAAGTAGCAAATACACACTTTGAACTTATGTATTGTTACTATGAAAACGTGAAGGCCCCAAGTTTCTACATAAATTTAGGTATGAATGATAAATGATCGAGTTTTACCCTGCATGCCATGCTCTTACTCAACCCCACCTGAGCAACTGGGGTTGCCTTCTCCAGACTTCCCTATTCCTACATGCCCCAGGGTTTTACCTTGACTCACAGACATGGGGGTCCTGGGACCCCCAGTTAATAGTTTTAGGGGTCCTTGCAGACATTGTAAGGGGTCCTGTGAAGTAACGGTGTAGAGAGCTGTATGTTTTGAAATTTTCTTCAGAGCCTGGAATGAATCATTTATCATAAAGTTAAGTGGGTGAAATGATGCACATAACTGCTCTGAATGAAACAACCAAACTCTTAGCAAAGTCATAGATGTGTTGTTGGTACAATGAATAATACTGTAATTTTCTTTTGCATCCATTGTCTACATTTGTATGTACTGGATGCACATTTGCACTTCACGTAAAACCCTGATGCCCCTTTTAATTTAAATATCCGCTATTCTACGTGCCTTTTCAGACTTCCTCTATTCTATGTGCTCTTTCCAGACTTCCCCTTGCCGAAATGCCCTCTTTAGATATTCCCTATTCTACATAAGACCGCCTCCGTGGTGTAGTGGTTAGAGCGTCCGTCCGGAGAGCGGAAGGTCGCGGGTTCGATCCCCGACCGCGTCGTACCAAAAGACGTTAAAATATGGTACTTGTTTGTCCCTGCCTGGCTCTCGGCATTAATGGGTACAACAAGGACTGGTCGGCTCGGGGTCAGTATAATGTGTCTGAGTGGGGTATTCATGCTTCACTACGGCATGGTATCTCAGTGGGCAAGCACTTTAAAACCAGCTTAAGTCTGCGCTAGTACAAGCAGCTACACATACACACGCATGCACATCGTAATATGAGCGAAATATTCTCAAGCTCGACGTTAAACCCAATTTCTCCTCGCCTCACCCTATTCTACATGCCCTGCAGACCCGTGAAGATCCGAGTTAGAACTGATCTTCAGTAAGCCATGCTTGTTGTAAGAGGCGGCTAACGGGATGGGGTGGTCAGGCTCTCTGACATGGTTGACACGTCGTATCCCAATTGCGTAGTAAGATGATCATGCTGTTGATCACTGGATTGTCTGGTTCAGACTCGGTTATTTACAGACTGCTTGTCGCCAACCCCACACTCCCATCTGAGTACAATATGACAACACAATAGGATACTAATTCAAACCACTAAACTACCACCCAAAACACTCTCACTCACTCACTCACTCACTCACTCACTCACTCACTCACTCACTCACTCACTCACTCACTCACTCACTCACTCACTTTCACACACACACCCTGTCCTATTGACACCTGACCAGATTCCATGTCTAGGTCAGTTGTAAAGGGCAGGGATATCAACTCAAGCTACTGAAACAGATAGGTTAATTTGACCTTCCTGTTCAAATGCTCTGATACATGTACATTACAAAAATGGGTCAAAGTCTGATACACATTAAACATGTTCAGCATATTGTACTTTGTAACATGTAAATTTGTGTTCCACAGTCTGAGTCAGAACAGCTTCATCCATGCATCTAGTTCATTTGTTTGCCACAAACATTTCAGAGACAACTTGAATGTGGGTCATCTGATCCAGTGCTTGTATTCATGACATGTTGCCATGGATAGTTGCTCAAGGTACTATTGAATTTTGGTATGTCCCTCAGCCAGACTTGAATATTTACAAGCTGCTGGAATATTGCTAGAAAATGGCTGGGGAATGGTCCAAACTAATGTAACAAAGATTTTTCAAACTGAAGGTGTTGAACTCAAATCTGGCAATATTTGTAGTCATTATGAGCTGAATGTGAATTTCAGGATGATGGTCACACAGACACAGTCAATGGCATATGTTGGCACCCAGAAGCCCCAACCTTGTACAGCTGCTCCAGCGATCACAATGTCATCGAGTGGGATGTTGTCACAGGCAAAGTTAAACAGTGAGTGTAGCAGTCAGTAACATGCGTCCATGTTTCTGTCTCTGCCAGCGTCTTCCAACATACCTGGAATGTTAAACTTACTTTACTTTTACTAAACAAAAGTAATGGTTCACAAGTAATAAAATTAAGCATGATAGAATTATGAGCACAATGGAGTTGTGAATCATCTTATCACTGATCAAAATCTTTCGAAAAAGAATTATCCTTCCATTCTTGTTAAACATCTGATTAATAACAAATTGATATATTTTAAAAGTAATTACCCTTCAGCACCAAAACTACGATGTTTGTTCTTCCTGGAATTTACATTGCCCAATAGGTGCAAGAACAACGTGTTCGTCAGTGCTGGCTTTCCACCTGGTGGACAAGGCAGTGCACCAGTTAACACACATGTACTGTTGATTTCCTTTCTAGCATGTTAACAGGGTTAGGTAATGTTCTTGTCAGTGAAGAAATAAACAAATCGTGTAAATCCATGATCCGCTGCATATAGAAAGTGACAGCCTCATGAGAAGATGGTTGTAAGAAGGATGTTGATGGATAAGCTGGTCACCAGTTTTTCTGAAATAGCACCTGTTGTATCATTTAGGTTTGGGGAAATGCCTGCCTGCAGTAGCACATAAATGAATGTATTACACAGTACATTAGTTTCTGTTATTTGCAATATACAAGGGTAAAATGTCAATAAGGGATCATAGATTGAAGATGAGCTGAGCTGAGCTGTTTCTGGATGTCATTGTGTGTGTATGTTTCAGGAAGTGGAAGGCCGACAAAGGCGGAGTATATTGTGTGTGCATGTGTTCACACAGTCATCTCCTGACAGCTGGGAGGTCAATCAAGGTGTGGGAAATTCATACCCGGCAGCTGTTAAAGGTAAAAACATTTCTCTACGTATTTTATAACCATTCTGGAAATTCCAAACAGGAAAGAGAGATCATGTTGTACCTCTATTTCCATACAGTTGTACCATGAGTCCTGTTAGGCTAGTTGACAGTATACTAAAAGCTGCAATATGGCCGAGAGTCGTAAAGCAGTAACCTCTCACTGAGTTATGTCTGTATGAAGCATAGTAGGACATTGGTCATGTATGTGAAGATTGTCATGATAGTAGGAACATGGATGGCCCAGGTAGCTCAGGGACTGTGACTTGATTTGAAGAGTTACCTCCCTTATGTCAGGATCTGCTGGTGACAGTTTGAATCCCAAGACTTGTAGGTTTTTTGGTCATCTCTGAGTGTTATCACCCCTTGTTGTTTGCTCCCACATTGACATAATGTAACTACATTACTTGCACTGACATTATAACCAACTTCATTTATGTCCCATTGCAGAGTTTCACTGGCCATGCGACAGAAGTATTCAGACTGATTTCTGTTCCTTTAATTGGGGAAACTGCTCCAAAACCAAATTCAGCCGAACATTCATACTTCCTGTCAGCTGCCCGCAACGACCGAGTCATTAATGCATGGTGAGTCATGTTCTAAGGAATAGGATGCAGACGAAGTACTATTGCAATGATGATGTGATATTTCTCATTCATTTTCTATCCACCGGTAGTGGTATTGTGGATAGAGCATCTAACTACTGATAAGATGCTTAAAAATGTTGTACATTGTTACCTTGCCTGGTGCTTGGCATGATGGACTGGTAGGCTCGGCGTCAGTTTACTACATAGATAGATGTTAAACCTGCAGAATGGTATCTCATTGCATTAGCACTATAAAACCAACATGTTACTCAGAACTAGTACAAGTAGCTACACACACACACATGTTCATGCATATCACTAAACGAGTCCAATAGTCTGGAATGAAATGTTTAGCCCTGTATCTCCAACCTTACCCATTCACTGGTAAGTCAGCATTGGTTTCAAAATTTCTTAATGTGTAATTTCAATTTTGATGTTTAGTCCGTATTGTTCAGTGTGTAGAATAAGTTAGTTTTCAACCAGAACAATAAAATACAGTTTATTTCTTTCTCCATCACTATCTCTACCCTGCTGAAAGTTCAGGTGAGCTTTAAATGGGATTGTGCAATCTCAGTTTCCTGTCTGTGTGGTATTCACATCTCAATCAAGATTCACTTAACCCCCCTGTCCTATTGACACCTGACCAGATTCCATGTCTGTATCGGTTGTAAAGGGCAGGGATATCACATCAGGCCACTGAAACAGACTGATCTATTTGACCTTCCTGTTCAAATGCTCTGAAACATTTATTGATGGTGAATTCATGTCACACTATTTCCATGAATGAGCTACCTTTTGTTTGTGAGAAGCTGCCTTGGATCAAAATAGTTTAGTTTGCTTAACCTAGGGATGCTGGTGAGTATTTGGACAGGTGCTTAAACCTGGTGACTTGGTTCATTGCCTTTTTATCTCGGCCCGACTGGGTGGGACTTTGCTCATATGGTGTTTTTAACAAGCTGAAGCCTTTATTTCCAAGGTATTTCTGTGGAATAGTAATATTAGTATTCTCCAGGGATAATCTCCATATACGTTCCGATAAATCTCCACTATTCCCTGGATGCATCTACGGCTTGGGCCGATGATTTTATTACCTCCCTTGGTTAGCTTTTTATCCAATCAGGTGTCTACGCTGGGAAGTTGAGTGTACCAATCACAACTCACTTTCGCTTTTTATTATCCCCCGCCGCGCGTTTAGCGCGCAGCGGGGGATATAGTATTAGGCTCCGTCTGTCCGTCCGTACGTACGAATTGGAATATCTTAAAAACCGCTCAGCCACCGCAGCTTCCACAAAAATGGAAGTCGGACAACTGGTAGTTTAGATTGCGGACTTTGTGTAACCCTCTGATAAGTGTTAATTGGCACGGCTCCAGTAGTATAGGGAATGGGGACAAACGACCGTGTAGGTACACCAAGCCTATAAGCTCCAAACTAGCCAATTCGGCTCCCAGAGTCACAAAACAAATTAGTATTTCGCACAAAACTGCATTTGAGTTTTTGGACCACTTTTTGTTTGCATTGTTTTTTCTTTGTGCTTCCCAGTAGTCTATCCAACCCCAAGACAGCTATACGGAAAACAAAAACACCAGTATGTTGATGCAAGTGCACTCAAATTAGAGATACACTAGGTAAATAGGTATAGAACACAACAAAATGCCCGGAACCAAGCTGTCGTGCGAAGCCTATGCCAAGATCCGATCGGGTCGTTTGTCCCTTCGGGAAGCGAAGAGGAAGTACCACATATCGCAAGCCCGATATACACGAATCCGAGGTGGTATAGACCCCGAGCCACAGACGACAACTTCCGACATGGCCGAAGTCTTCGAGAGCCTGCTGGAGAAGTGTTCCCACGTATTGCTTTCGGGCCGAGAGAAACAAATCCTGGAGAAATCGGGACACACCTTCTACGAGCTTTACGCTACCAGATACCTCGCCAGTTTCTGGGACTGTATTTGCTGTACTTTCGCCAATTCGTAGAAGACGGCAAAATAGTGGATTTCGTCTACCTCTACCCACCCATCCGGGCAAACTCCGGATGACTACTGTTGCCCGGAACCCAAGGGCAGACACCACCGATGCACCGACTGCCTGGCCGCTCTATTGGAACTCTCCACTCTCTTCGAGCGAGACAAGTCTAGTGCAAGTGCGGCGCCATAGACCACTGCGTCGACTGCAAGAAATGTGTACTGTTGAAAAACAAAGCGATAGACTACACACCACCCCAGGAGGAGCGACTCCCACTCGAGGTTCCGGAAGAAATCGCGATCCCCTACTGTCTCTTGAACATAGAGAACCTGTACGACGATGCCTGTGCTTTCTGGAGCATACGGTACACACTCCTCCTCAACAAATTGGTGGACCATTGTCTGTGCAAGAAGAAAGATTCTTGTCTCTTCCGACAGCTATTGGGAAATGCAGAGCTACCACAGGGATGGGGACGGCATACTGCCCCCTTGCATAACTACGGCGGGCCCAAGGATATGGAAGTGGCAGTCCCTCCGTGAAGCAAACACCGAAAAGCCGCAGACATTCCGGAAGGAATCTACACATGCAAAAGGTTTGCCATAGCGAAATATGAAGGGAAGAACCGACTGTTGCTGCTTCTCGATTCGCCAACTGGAGAAACGATTCCTGTCTATGGCTACAATATATAAGAAACGATTCGAGACGCCGGCGGAATAGAACGCCTACGGTTGGTGGGTGGACCATTTCTGTGCAGGCTCGGCAAAATCTGCCACTCGCCCATATCGAAAAAGAAAGACGATCGAGAAGTCGAATTGCTGCTCCCAGACCTCGGTCGGAAATAGCTTTTTCTATCGAGAAAAAAAAAGAAAAAAGAAGACAACACACACGCACACATCCCATAAACGACGACCAAACCCCTTTTGCAGTCTTTGTGGCAAAAGTGGACATCTCCGAAATCGTCTGACTCCAAGAGAAATCGGGAAACAAAACTACAAGGCAAGGCATCCGGCATGGAATCCAGGGGTAGGCAACTCCACACATCAAATGGTTATAAGAATCTCATTTTCGCTAGGGCTACCCATTTTTTCAGCAACCACTAACCCTATTTTCGACCCGATACCTGTCGGTCTGGGCAAAATCTGATCGAGAAGTCGAGTTGCTTCTCCCAGAGCGGAAATAGCTTCTATCGAGAATAGATATTATTTTTCTCCCCTACTGCATGTGGAAGGGGTGCACGAAGGGGGTGGATCGTGGAAATTGGTGTGCTGTGCTTCCAGGTCTTGTGGACGACCTTCCAGAGAAAAACGGCAACTAGCGAAATGTAGACCCATCTTTGGGTAGATTCCACCATCTGCCCCACCTTCCGGATATCGAAATTGGTCTCTTCTTCTTGTTCCTATTCCATTTCCTCGCGGAGGAGTTTGGAATCGTCGTCGTCGATGTCCAGCCTAGACAAGACGTCAACCAACATACTCGTGGTTTGCCTCGCACGAGTCTCGATGTTCCCCAGGCGGTTGTAGAAGTCCTGGATGGTTGGCAATGTACTACCGGGTATAGCTACTTTCAATCTATCTCGAGTCACCTTTTTTGACAATGGTTCGACGACCGGCAATGATACTTCTGGTGGTGGTACTTCTTCTTCGACTGGCGGCATGGTTGTTGTTTCCTCGATCGGATCTCGCCATATGTCGTAGACTCTATTCGATCAAATACCGAAACGCTTTTTTGGTCTCGGCTGCTGATGGCACACCTCGAAGTGCACGTATTTCTTGGACTTGGTCTTGCGACAGGTTTGTTTGTTTGTTTGAGGCATTTTGTTTGTACTATATAATCTACATTCGCACAATTGTCTGTATGGAAAACTAGGCAGAACCTAGGTGGACTAGGTACAAACTAGTTTCTGGAATACAAAACTCCAGCAAAATGCTAGCAAAAAAAACACACCGATGGGCTTAACCATCTGCTAGTACAGATTTTAGTACTACCAGTTATCCGACTTCCATTTTGGTGGAAGCCGCGGTGGCTGAGCGGTCTAGGCGTCTGACTTTGTGTGCTGGCGATTAGGTGCCTGACTCTGAGGGTGTGGGTTCGAATCCCAGATGGGACTCAACCCCAAAAAGTACTAGAATCTGTACTTTACTAAGAAAGTGTAATCCCAAATATAACATATGTTACATTTGACCACTTTCTAAAATGGCATTGTGTATTTCAAGGTCAAAGTGAGTCTTGAAAATATTTGTGCAATTGAACAACTACAGAGGAAGATATCAAGAGAGGTTGACATTTAACTCCATCTTAGATTACGACCTTCACTTTAATTACTTTTCAAGTTTGATTTGATAATTTGTGGCGGGGGGATTATGTCACCTTAGTGACAATGCTTGTTAAATTATCTAACCAATTAAACTTGGCAACACAATAATATATTGTTGCATAGGTACTCTGAAAGAGATAGAAGAAGTTCTTGCATATTTTTTAAGGTTTCAGACCTGTCAATTTGTCCGTATGTTTTCCCCCCCAAATCTGAGTCGCACTGCGAACGAACCTTCGCAACTGCTACCGCTATCGTTGTTGACACTGGTAAGAAGCTTGGCTGTAACGGCAGCTTGTCTGATTGGCTACTGTGGGAATCAAAGGGAGGTGATAAAATCATCGGCTTGAGCCATAGATACATCCAGGGTATAGTCATCAAGGATGGTTAATTAAGGCTATTTCGAATAATAATGCAGCTATCATCATCAGTTCAAATGGTGTATGTTATCATCTGTGTTAACCACGAACATATTCTGTTAAAGACCTCAGTAGTGAAGTTGGACTGATGGTTCGACACTTTTGTCATGCAAGAATATGTTGTTACCCTGCTTCAGTGTGCAAACTTTATGCTGGTCCTGTGGTCCCTTACTAGTAAAAATTCATCAGGACCACTAAATGATACATTTGCAGTGGTCCTGGTGGACAGTGATTTTATTTATTTTTCCCCATCTACATAATTAGAATTGTCTTTAAACTAAAAAGTGAGATCGTATATTTTAGCGAGGATTCAAGTCAAGTAAGTAATACTCTCAAGTCGAGCACATGGGAAAACAGGAACCAGTTTTACATTTGCAATCACTTCAGTGGACCAGTGAAGTACAGACAGGACCACTAATTGTTGTCCACTCACTGGTCCTGTGGTCCAGTGGGACATTTTGGAAGGTTTCTAACACTGCTGTTGTTTTTGTATTGTTCATCCGAAGATATAGATTACAAGTATAGACATTTATTCTTTTATTCAATGCTGCTGCTATGAGTACTGTTCAGAATGAACTTTGTTTATTTCAGTCCATTTTGTTAGCGGTTGTAACAAAGAGTGGTCAAGTGCTCGTGTTTGAACACACGTTAAATGGGTAAGTTACCACCATCACTATTACAGCACTGTGTTAAATCCTATCAGATTCTTCAAAGTGGTCACTACATGTAAGCTTTCCTTACCAAACTACATCATTAATCTTCTTATTTTGACTTAGTTGAAGCTTCAATTTTCAATTTTGATTGTATTGAAGCTTTTAGGACCTTAACATTCTTAGTGCAACCCTTTTATGTCATCCTGCCCCTGATGAAATTGAATCAAGGTCCTTACGTCAAGCACTGCTGTAATGATTTGAAATGTTTGTATAATGATAGCTGTAAGATTGCTGATGGAGTAGGCCATCCTATTGTTCATTTACTACCAACAGCAAGGACTTTTTCTGTTTCCAGACTTAAAACTGTTCATATAGTAATGGCATTTTAGAGATAACGTTTGATTGATTGAAACACTTGAAATAGTGGTTTTAGTTCATTACAAACCTGCAAGAGAATAATATAATATTTTTGCAGTCGGCACACAAGGTAATTTTTACATAAGTTGACATGCCACATCTTTCATTATGATGTCACAGTGGTACTCCAACACCTGCAAGCGCCATCTTCTGGTGGGTCTCACATATCACACCTGTGCTATACAATAACATTTATTTCAGGAGGTTAAAAAAGCCACTTCGCCCAAAGGTTAAGATACAGCTGGTGACAGCTGGTGGTGGTGTAAGGGAGGACACACCACGGCCGATTCCGGTGCTCTCAGCTCACATTCATGGAGGGGAGGAGAAGAGTTTGTTGCTAGCCCATGGAAGCTACCTCAAACCAACTTTTGAGAAAGTGGTAAGATATTGTATGATTTAACACTAATGTACACTGAAAATTGTAGTAATAATCAACGAAGGAAACGTGAAGCAGCACAGCAGGAGGTTGTGTACGCCGATTGTTAGTACATCCCAGTTGTTTACTCCTGGTGTCAGTACAACCCACTTGTTTACTCCTGGTGTCAGTACAACCCACTTGTTTACTCCTGATGTCAGTACAACCCACTTGTGTTTACTCCTGGTGTCAGTACAACCCACTTGTTTACTCCTGGTGTCAGTACAACCCACTTGTTTACTCCTGGTGTCAGTACAACCCACTTCTGTCAGTACAACCCAGTTGCTTACTCCTGGTGTCAGTACAACCCATTTGTTTACTCCTGGTGTCAGTACAACCCACTTGTTTACTCCTGGTGTCAGTACAACCCACTTGTTTACTCCTGGTGTCAGTACAACCCACTTGTTTACTCCTGGTGTCAGTACAACCCACTTGTGTTTACTCCTGGTGTCAGTACAACCCACTTGTGTTTACTCCTGGTGTCAGTACAACCCACTTGTGTTTACTCCTGGTGTCAGTACAACCCACTTGTTTACTCCTGGTGTCAGTAAAACCCACTTGTTTACTCCTGGTGTCAGTACAACCCGTTTGTTTACTCCTGGTGTCAGTACAACCCAGTTGCTTACTCCTGGCGTCAGTACAACCCACATGTTTACTCCCGGTGTCAGTACAACCCACTTGTTTACTCCCGGTGTCAGTACAACCCAGTTGTTTATTCCCGGTGTCAGTACAACCCACTTGTTTACTCCTGGTGTCAGTACAACCCACTTCTGTTTACTCCTGGTGTCAGTACAACCCACTTGTTTACTCCTGGTGTCAGTACAACCCACTTGTTTACTCCCGGTGTCAGTACAACCCACTTGTTTACTCCTGGTGTCAGTACAACCCAGTTGCTTACTCCTGGCGTCAGTACAACCCACTTGTTTACTCCTGGTGTCAGTACATCCCAGTTGTTTACTCCTGCTGTCAGTAAACCCACTTTTGTTTAGTCCCGGTGTCAGTACAACCCACTTGTTTACTCCTGGTGTCAGTACAACCCACTTGTGTTTAGTCCCGGTGTCAGTACAACCCACTTGTTTACTCCTGGTGTCAGTACAACCCACTTGTGTTTAGTTCCGGTGTCAGTACAACCCACTTGTTTACTCCTGGTGTCAGTACAACCCACTTGTTTACTCCTGGTGTCAGTACAACCCACTTGTGTTTAGTCCCGGTGTCAGTACAACCCACTTGTTTACTCCTGGTGTCAGTACAACCCACTTGTTTACTCCTGGTGTCAGTACAACCCACTTGTGTTTAGTCCCGGTGTCAGTACAACCCACTTGTGTTTAGTCCCGGTGTCAGTACCACCCACTTGTTTACTCCTGGTGTCAGTACAACCCACTTGTGTTTAGTCCCGGTGTCAGTACAACCCACTTGTTTACTCCTGGTGTCAGTACAATCCACTTGTGTTTAGTACCGTTGTCAGTACAACCCACTTGTTTACTCCCATTTTCAGTACAACCCAGTTGTTTACTCCTGGTGTCAGTACAACCCACTTGTTTACTCCTGGTGTCAGTACAACCCACTTGTTTACTCCCGGTGTCAGTACAACCCAGTTGCTTACTCCTGGCGTCAGTACAACCCACTTGTTTACTCCCGGTGTCAGTACAACCCATTTGGTGATAGTGCTCCTTTCAATGCTCTCCTTCCACTTTTCTATATACACACCTAAATATTTGACATAATCATAACTCGTAGACATAATCATGAAGAGTATTTTGCCATTGCGGGGGATATTGATGACTTTGTCTTCTTGTTGGAAATTGTTATGCATGGGATGAACATTTAAACATGTTGGTTCTCCTCTGTTATTGCAGGCATACGACCCCTCACAGCCTGAAGTGTGTCTTATCAGGGAAGACCCACTGAGAACTGCCTTTAAGAAAGATGGAGGTGTTTCTAAGGTACAACAAGCAAACAGCTGCCAAACGTTTACTTGAAGTATTATCCATTTGCTATGTGCACCATACAATATGAAGTAACTATGGAAGACGCCATAGGTCATAGCTAGATCATTTGGGAATCTAGATGTTGGGGAGAAAACTACCACGCCACAAACATGTAAAGATTGTCTCAAGTTGTTGTAAGTAATATGTATCTGACGCTAGATTGTGTCCCTTCCTAGATCCGGACACCAGGCGTCTCGAAGGAAGCCACAGTACTGGTGCCAGCCAACATGGTGCCCAAAGACCCCAGTTTATCTGCTGACAAAAGGCGGAAAAGACAAAACTCTGTCGGAGAGGTAAGTACATTATTATATGTTTATGTTTGTCTGAGACCCGTGAAGATGTGGGTTAGTACTGATCTTCAGTAACCCATGCTTGTTGTAAGAGGTGACTAACGAGATCGGGTGGTCAGGCTTGCTAGCTTTGTTGACCGATGCTTATACTGTTGATGACTGGATTGTCTGGTCCAGACTCGATTATTTACTGTCCGATTATTTACTGCATTTTAAATAGTTTAATTGTCATCAATACTGATTCCTGTTATTTCCTTATTACATACCATAGCAGCTCCAGCTGATGGGCTACACCACGGAGCAGCTACACCATTTTGATGTTGTTGTTTTGGTTTTTGCAGCTGACAATGGAGGAGCGTCTCCATGCCATCAGCTTGGACAAGAGTGACACCAAAGGAGGGGCTTCTGCACCCCCCACTGCTGAGAGCGTTGTACATCTCCTCACACAAGCATTGCAGAGTAAAGACAAGAAACTGCTTAGTGTGAGTTGCCTCCCTTGATATTCCTATGCACCTGCATGTAGCCCCTGCAAACTAAACTCGAAGTAGAATGTGTGATCTAAGTCAGCTGTCAGTGAAAAGACGGCTACATATGATGACTGGAGTTGCATCAAGTAACACAGATCGCCAATAAAACTTCTAATGTATAACTATTCAGTATGTTTTACTCCTGTGCTTTGTGTTGCAATAAATTACATGCACTGGCTTATGAGGAATATCCTCAAACACTGCTTGATTAGAAATGACATGCGTCTATATGTTCATGTTCATGCTCAGTGCTAAGAGATGATGGTATGGTAAGATCTGAATTTGGTTATGTCACAAGAGATGTGTACTAACTAGTGCTTGCCAGTGACAGGGAAGTTTTCATACCCCAAGCAAACCTGACCCAGGGGTTGGACACTTACCCATAGTCTTTCACAGCAAACCAAAGCTCTCAACTTGCTCTAGTGAACAAATTAAGTCAATACAATAATTTAAATGTTACATCTCATTATTTTTTCAGACTGTGCTGCATCGAAGCGGAGAGAAGGTGATACAGAAGACAATACGGAAGCTCCCCATAGTGTGTGTGCTTCCCCTTGTACACGAGTTGTCCAAGAGAATGGAAGGACACCCACAAAGGTATGTTCATTTCTGGTCTGTCTAATATGCAGATGGTAGCAGGGGTGGAAATTGCCCGACGTCCGAGTCCAGTGTTTTTTCAAGTCGGGCAAGCAAATTTGTATATCACGCTGTACCAATGTCCAGTTGACTTTCCTATGTTAATTATGTTATTTATTTTAAAAAATCAACAAGAAAATCGGCCGGTATAGAGGAAAAATTATCAGGGGAAGTGATTTTACATGTGCCACTGCACCGATGTACACTAGCAATTTTAAAGTTATTTCCTCCACTGGGTAGTACTTACAAAGACCTTGGTTTTGTTCTACTTCATGAAAATGTAACCGTGAATAAATCTCGAGAGTGGAGTAGTATATATTGGATGGTTGGATGCAATGTAGTTTGCAATCACTAAATGTCTTCAAGTGTGAAATGTGTTATTTAACATGACAGAGCCAACTTCATTCATATCAACATTTATTCACATATTAGAATCTTAAGAATCCATGTGTTTCAGTTTCCTACCAGACATGATTGCCTTAATCAGTTTTCTGCATTGGATTGAATTTTTGAGCAGTTGCGCCACTTCGTCATGTTTGTTGCATCTTGTTCTGGGGCAGAATTTTTACTAACTCCTATGTAAAACTGAACTGAAATGCATACACTTGGTGGTATTGAACAGATAATTATCTCTATAAATCTGGGGATCAGATGGCCAACATAACAGCTGATGACATATGTTTTGCCTTCATCTGTTCTCTGTGAGTTGCATGGCCCTGATGCAGCTACTGGGCAAGCTGCTGTTTGTGGCAGGGCATCAGGAAGGCTATTGTCCTAATTATTGTTCCATGTGATGTCACACTAGTATATATGTTCTTGAAGATCCTGGTTAGAATTGGTCTTCAGTAACCCATGCTTGTCATAAGAGACAACTAACGGGACCAGGAGGTCAGGCTTGCTGACTTGATTGACAGTGCAGCGTAAAACTAAATTCACTGACTCTTGTTTCTTCCAGTGCCAGTAAAAGTGTGAAGTGGCTGAAGACAGTGATGGCAGTGCATACATCATATCTGATGACAGTGAGTAGATTCATGTAGTTGTTATGTGGTTCCCAGCCCCAGCATTCCACGGTTGCTAATAATGCAGACCGGACACAAATGTTTGTTATAATGGATGAAGAACCATGAGCTTCACAACAACTCACTAATATTCTTGTGTTTGTTTTGACAGTTCCCGGAAATTGTTGACAAGCTGAGCTCACTGTATCAGATGATGGATGCTCGAGTTTCCATGTTCTCCAAGTTGTCACGGTTACAGGGCAAACTTGACCTTGTCCTGACACAGGTAGGTTTCAAGGACAAAATTGCACTTTGAAAGATGGGGCTTCAGAGCTGGGTGTGTGTATATCAAGGTGAATTAAATGAGGATCAGATTGCCATCACTGAAATGGCTTGTTAGTACAGCACCCTTTACTGATAGCATGGAACATTGCTGTCTCCATTCTTAGTTCTGCCCTTGGTATGACAAAGACAAACCACACAGACTGTGTTGAAACATGGTATGACAAGGACAAACCACACAGACTGTGTTGAAACATGGTATGACAAGGACAAACCACACAGACTGTGTTGAAACATGGTATGACAAGGACAAACCACACAGACTGTGTTGAAACATGGTATGACAAGGACAAACCACACAGACTGTGTTGAAACATGGCATGCCACTACTGTAGCAGCGTGTAGTCCATGTGAATCATCTGGAGTCCAACCTGACCATTGGCACCAACGTTTTGCACTGTAAGATGGTGTCATTTCCCCATGAAATTGACATTGCCTTTGATGTGCTACAGAACACTTGTAGACCATTCCTGTCCTTCTTGTATGGATCTGACAGTGCACCAGTCTACTGTCACTCCCAGCTGTTTAAAGGAGAAATATTTTTCAAATATATTGAGTAAAACTGAGTATGTTTAGTGTCTAAGCATGGTTATGTTTACTGGGAAGATGTTTGGTATTCAAGGCACTGTTGGGGTTGCAGATCAGATGTCGCCAGTACTTCCTGCTTGTCAGCACTGACCTAGTGAAATAGGGATTGTTGGTTTCAGTCAGCTGTGCCTGCTTCAGATTGTTTACAAGCAATTATTATAGCATAGCTGTGGCTGACTAAAATGATGTTAATTCACTCGAAACTCACTCACGAATGTATCTGTCTGATTTTTATGCTGTTTTTTTTTCTCTTTAGTAGAAACACCTGTTGATATTAACATGATTAAGTTCACCAACCCACTGTTGCAGATCACGTCACATGACCAGGAAGACGAAGAGGATGCTGGGAAATCCCAGCAACCATTGTTGTTATATCAGGATGGTAAGTGAAGTAATATCAGATGTATCACAAGGTCAACATTAGTGAAAACAGACACTGACTGAATCACATTGGCCAGTCTTTGTTGTACAGAGCCAAAAGCTTAAACATTTGTATACATACAGAAATTAGAAAAAACTTTCAAGCCAAGGTTAAGCATTGAACCAGTGCTGTTCATGTTTCAGAGTCATCTGATGAAGACTTCCCAATGGAGGACATCCTTCCCAGTGGATCTGGGGTGAGTATCTCGCTCTGATGGCCCTTTAATCAACAGATCTATATCAATCAATTGTCTAGAGTGTTGTCTTGACTGGAAGTAACCCTTGATTGTCTCCCCTATGACAATGCTTGCCCTGTGGGGATTCAGGGGGAGAACAGAGACTGCCCATGGTAGTCATGTTTGACGTTTGGACTGCCATTAGGTAATTTGGTAGTCATAGGCTGGTGGCCTAGCATGAATTTTGGTAACTAGACAAGTTGTGATGAATAAATGTTTGTTTTGTAGGAGGACTGGGATGATCTGTCCGAGATGAGCTCCGATGAAGTGGAGACTAATGGGAAAAAAGAAGAAGAGGGTGTAGAGTCTGAGGAGGAAGATGATGATTCAGGGGAAGAGGAGGAGGAAGAAGAAGAAGATATGGGATAGAGAAATTTGAAAAACCTAAAGAACCAGTAAAATCAGTGCAGTTGACTACATAAACTGTAGCCTGAGGGTATTAAGAAGCCTTGTGGGAAGGAGAAAGATATGAATTTCCAGATTGCTGGTCAGTGTGGTGGCTGTATGGAGAAGACTGGGAGGAAAGAGGCAATCAACCATGTGGGCCAACACACAGCAATCTTACATACAGAGTCGTCTCACTTCACATCCTGATTTCCTTCCACACTAAACTGAAATACTGTTTAAAGTGACATTAAACCAGACATACACCCAGCATGAAGTACGTGTTGGAGTAATATTGTTTCGTGGCAGAAATGCCCGTGCCTCCTTGTATCTGCAAGATGGCAGCCCATGTAATCGGGCAAGCTCATTAAGGCTGGACTTGACAGGTCGTTGACTAGAATAAACCTTGCCCAGTGCTTGAATACTGTCTTCATTTCTTGACGTTTGGCTGGTGAACTTTGGTCAGAAGTGAAGGTGACCAATATTTCATGCATCAAGTAAGAGCAGTGACCGACCACAAAGTACTCGTGTCAAGAAGCGTTAATAACCATCAGGTGCTGGGAATGATTGTTGATGTGAGTAATACTTGTTAAAGCATGGTTGTTTGTATGGTGAATGTCATGCCAGAATAGCAACATTGAAACCTGGTAATTAAATTCTGTTACTTAAGAATGTTCAAATTAACTCCTTAGCAATGACAGTGTCTCTACAGCATGATATTTGCAGGAGAAATGGTTCGATGTGTGTACAAACTTATTTTGCTTAGAAACTGTATGAAATGTCCTTGTGAAGTAAGTTCAGATTTTCTTGAAGCCTAATGTTCTGTGATGTATAGGCTTGCAAAGACTAAATAATTTAGTAATGCAATATATAAAGCTTCATTCCTGTACTGATGATCAGCTTAGTGAAGTTAGGTTTTTGTAAGAATGTGCAATTGACAAGAATTGTTTGTAAACACAACATGATCTACCTGTACTTGTTACTCTGATCTGGAGATCCAAAGGTAGAGAATAAACTTTGTTCAAAATGTGGGAACTCAAACTTCTTAGTAGTTGCCAGACATCTGTATACCCTTCAACATTAAAATGTGTAGTCAACTCAAGAAAATATGGAATCATGTAAATTTCTAGGCTTTGCAGTCACTAATTGGGTAGATATTGTTACTTTGTGGTGATCATAGAATCCTCTTTTGCCTCACTGTAAATGGATATCCTGTTTTTTAGATTAAATCACTGCTGTGGTACAATGTGAATAGGATATTTCCCAACGAGGATGGCCCTTTATTGTTAAATTGTGGGTCCCTTTGTGTAATCTTTCTGCTGCAAGTGTGTTGAATGAGAATCAAGTTCAGTTTCACCATCTTGGATCTTGTATCCCAAAGCATACGTGTGCAGTTCATCTTGAATGATCCGAATATGTCAACATATATGCCTCCTGCAGCAGAAACAATACAATCAGGTGTCCTGTATCCATATCCCAGAGGCTGCTTCAGGTTTTGAAGATGGTATATTTTGTTCCTTATGTACATGTGACAATTAAATGTATGCTGAAGGACCAAAACATGACTATTTTGAACTGAGGTAGCTAGATTTAAACTCTCGTCTTTCATTCATTTTCAAATTACAATCATAAGGTCAATGATTGTCACTGACTCTTAACAACAATAAACCATACAAACTACAGTTGTCAACCTGTTGATGGGGGGAACCACAATGATGGGGGGGGGGATCATGTACATGGATTCAGTACGTTCCATCACTTCATCCAGGACCGGTTTCAACTGGTCCCTTTCAATCTATGCTTGTATGAGGTAACTGAATGGATCGGTGTCAGGGTCATGATTTGGTTGATGATGAACCCACACGACATGGATGGTTGCTGATTAGCTGGGATATTCCTGACTGGCTTTAACCAACACACAATAGGCCTGGCATGGGGAAACGGTTATGACTGCAATGGCCAGACCATGCCCCCAACATTGTTTGAATGAGGCTGTTGGATACTTCATGCATGTTCTGATACAACATCATCGTCGGCTGCAATATACATGTATGTAAGCAGCGTTCGAAATACCTACCTGCCTGCGACTGCCTCCATGGTGTAGTGGTTAGAGCGTCCGCCCTGAGAGCGGAAGGTCTCGGGTTCGATCCCCGACCGCGTCATACCAAAAGACGTTAAAATATGGTACTTGTTGGTCCCTGCCTGGCGCTCGGCATTAATGGGTCCAACAAGGACTGGTCGGCTTGGAGTCAGTATAATGTGTCTGAGTGGGGTATTCATGCTTCACTGCAGCATGGTATCTCAGTGGGCTAGCACTATAATACCAGCTTCAGTCTGGGCTAGTACAAGCAGCCGCATATACACATACACACCCATGTTGTCATATGAGCGAAATATTCTCAAGCACGACAAACTCAATTTCACCTCACCTCACCAACCTGCCTGGGACTGGTTATTTTCAGCATGGACTGCCAGATTCTCAAATTCACCTGCCCAACGGTTGGGTTAAAATTCAGACATGTATATGAAGATATTCATCATATTTCAGGATAATAAATCATTACTAAGCAGCAAAAGAAACGTCAGTTTGGAATTTTCCTTCGCAGGAACGGATAACTGTAAACTCATTTAATGTTTTGAATGTATATTTTTGACAACATCTCCAACTTTACCTGAGCAAAGACATTCCTTCCCAAACTCAGAATGGAACCCAGGAATTGGTCTGCACGTGCTGTTCACAAGGAACAGACCTATTAAATGCACCCCCAAACCTGGTTGAAACATTCACATTACAACGTCAGCAGGATGTCGTGACTCACGACAGCTCAGAGGAACCAGGCGCTAGTAAGACTTGAAGCTGGCCACCCTGCACAGCCGTTGCCAATCACTTCCAGGTCAACGTTCGGACCATCTATAGGCTGCAGCAACGTTTCCGGGCCACCAACACCACAAATGATCGCCCCCGTATACTGGCAGACCAAGGGTGACCACAAGACAAGACCGCCATGTTGTGCGACAGCATGTACAGAATCCCTTCATGCAGACATCAGAAACAGCATGCCAGACAGTGGGAACACACGAAAGACCAATCAGTACTGATACAGTATGCCGACGTTACCGTGAACGTCTACAGTTTGCCCTACAACACCAAAACTGGCGATACAGGCAATGGAGAACTGTTCTGTTTACAGATGAGAGTCGGTACTGCGTATCAACTGCAGATGGCAGAACAAGAATATGGCGATGACATGGCCAGCGTTACTCAGACCAATGTGTTATGGAAAGGGGCCCATGGGGAATTGCAAGCATCATGCTATGGGGTGGAATAGGCCTGAACCAGAGTGGGTCCTGTGGTGTTCCAGAACCTTGGTCCAGGGAGAGGACTGACTGACTGAGTTTAGTTTTACGCCGCTTTTAGCAATATTCCAGCAATATCACGGCGGGGGACACCAGAAATGGGCTTAACACATTGTGCCCATGTGGGGAATCGAACCCGGGTCTTCGGCGTGACGAGCCAACGCTTTAACCACTAGGCTACCCCACCGCCCCCCAGGGAGAGGAGGAGGCGGCATCACAGCGGTGCGCTACATGGACCAAGTTCTCAGACCCCACGTCATACCACATTTCGCACGTCACCGGAACAACATATTACAGCATGATAATGCCCAGGCCCATACTGTCAGAGCTACACGGGACTTCTTACAGCAGAACGGTGTCAACATTATGCAGTGGCCAGCCCTTAGTCCTGATTTAAACACAGTTGAACAAATTTGGGATGAAATTCAGGAGACTGAATAATGTCATACCAAGGCCGAACACAGACGATTTATTGCGCCAGGCCTTTCTCAGAGTGTGGTTCAAAGTGCTTATGGCCTTCATCAATCGATTGGTGCACTCCATGCATAGACGATTTGCTGCAGTTATTGCCGTTCGTCACACTAGATGCTGAAGTCAAGAGTGTGCATGGACTGCAAACGTTCACGTAATGTCTTGGAATTGTGCTGAGTTATTCTTTGATCCGCTTATTATGTCCATTTCTGTAATGATTTGGGGGCGGTGGGATAGCCTAGTGGTTAAAGCATTGGCTCGTCACGCCGAAGACCCGGGTTTGAATCCCCACAAGGGTACAATGTGTGAAGCCCATTTCTGGTGTTCCCCGTCGTGATGTTGCTGGAATATTGCTAAAAACGGCATAAAACCAAACTCAGTCAGTCGGTGTAATGATTTGATTACAGTGCCTGTCAAATTTTGAGTTTGTACTGACGTTTTTTTTGCTGCTGAGTATATGTTGCTTGTCAAACCTAAATTATTTGCAGGCAGGTAAGTTTTGGTCATGGCTGGCAAGTTTTACATCTAACCAGCCCTATGGTCTGGCTGAAATGTTTTTGAGTTTCATACGGTGCTGTAAGTGGTGTTGAGCACCTAGAGCATGGCCTTGTGACTGATGTTTAGTTCCAGTGACAAGCGAAGATGTGTGCTGCCTCCAGAGTCTACTGTCACCATCATCATGTAGCAGTCACTGGGTGTGGGAGGCTGACATACTGGTAGCATGATGATGTTGGTGGCAGTCATACATGGTTCCTGTAATGAACCATACTGACCTTGTCTGTATTTTTACTCAAAGATGTTCACCACATGCAGTACCTGTAACAGCATAATTCCCAAGACCCTTTATATATCTACCACAAATTAACATGTCAGCTTATTACTTGCACCTCAACCTGTGTAAACATCACTGTTTTTGAGAACTGTACATTTAAATAGCTCTTCAAGAACTCTGCTCAGCATGGGGCACTGAGTTACTTATAAGGGATTGATTATTCATCTTCATCCTGATACCATACATTATTACAACAATCATAAATACAGAAAAACAATGCGTGTGAATGTTTTACTAACCTGTAAAGAGGGTCTTTGAGATAAAACCTAAACACCAAGCAAATGGTGGCTGTGGTCAGTCAAGATGTCATGCCTGGTGTGCCTGTGAAATACTGAATGCACTTGTAAGCTGACTTAACAAAGCGACTGGCCCAAGCCGTCTATCAACTGAATTAAAGAAATCTCCACACACAGGTTACCGTGCTATTCTGCTGAAAGCAGCGCTGTTGAGTATAGCAACTCTATGTTCATTACATGTTTATCAAAGTAATTAGGGGCGGTGGGGTAGCCTAGTGGTTAAGACGTTCGCTCGTCACGCCGAGGACCCGGGTTCGATTCCCCACATGGGTACAATGTGTTAAGCCCATTTCTGGTGTCCCCCGCCGTGATATTGCTGGAATATTGCTAAAAGCGGCGTAAAACCAAACTCACTCACTCACTCACTCAAAGTAATTAGGCCTTATTTTGTGTGTTTTTGTGGAGACATCAAGGACACACGAGCCACTTCTGGCTTTTGTCGAACACTTTAATAATGAAAATAATAACCACAAGTAATTTTTAAAAGGCCTGAGAGATATCCAACCAGCGCGACTCAGTGGTGCTGTTATAGTGAGTAAGGACGTTGCGTGGCTTTTAGCAATATTCCAGCAATATCACGGTTGGGGACACCGGAAATGGGCTTCACATATAGTGTACCCATGTGGGGAATCGAACGGTGCTATTATATATTATTGCGGCGTCCTCCCATTACGCAGACAGGCAGTTCGCAGAGACTTTAATTATTTACTTTGAAAGATGGCCGAAAAGACATTAATTTTAATTTTGATTGTTGCATTATAAAAGCAGTTGATTTTCATAAACATTTTGGTTTAACCTTCTCATCTAACGGGTGTTGGCATCATCATATTGAAAACATTGTAAAAAACATCTAAAATTATTGGAGCATTTCAGAAATTAAAGTTCCTACTAAATAGAACAACAGTTCTTCTTCAGGATTTACTCCCACCTGTAGTAGGCAACCGGATAAACTAGGAGTTCAACTCCAATATTTTTAACCGACCATGTACAAGAAGGAGGTACTCAACATCATCTTGTATTCCATCAGCAATTAAAATCTTGAAGAATATTCCCTTAGCTATTAGAAATTGCGACTCTGTTGCATCATTACTTCCTTGAATGTCCATTGTACTGTATACTGTTCAAAGACATAAACTGTTAGAACCTTTAGAAGGTATTGTTACAATTAGAACTACAATTAGATTGGTATTAATCTTATAACAATGCAGGTTTCTCATTTACTGAAAATGTTTCAGGTTCACCCTACTCAACTCACTAGACAGTGGACTGTTCCATTATACCCGTAGGTGCTACCCTAATTAACCTTCTAGTTCAGTGTCTGTCAATCAACTGTGTCTGTCAATTGGGAGATAACCATTATTGCCACTGTGATACGACCCAACCTACCTGTGAAATCCAAGAATGTTAAAGTCACATTACTATTTTATCTTACCGGGTATCCAAAAATTGCTGAGTGAACTTTTTCTGGATCCCCAGATTACACTACTGTGAGACCTGAAACTGTTAACAAGGAGTCATGCCGCCAAACACGGTTATCCAAAGTGAGTGAGTAAGTGAGTTGGGTTATACGCCGCTTTTAGCAATATTCCATCAATATCACGCCGGGGGACACCAGAAATGGGCTTCACATATTGTATCCATGTGGGGAATCGAACCTGGGCCTTCATCGTGACAAGCGAACGCTTTAACCACTAGGCTACCCAATCATCCCCGGTTATCCAACGAACCTGCTAACGTTTGTGAATAGTACTGTGGACGTGACGTCAGGTAAGGTTCTGCATGGTGAGCAAAGAAGCTTTTGATGTAACCCTTTGAACACCAAATATGTAATGTGAAATGTACCACTTGATATAATTATTTTGAAATGATCATTCTCTCTATACAGACACGAACACGAAAAAGATATGCATTTGAAAGCACACTTCAGTGTGAATATATATTTCGAAACTTAAAAACAAGTATTTCCTCTTAGGATCAAGAACTCACAAAGCGATCACATAGAAGACCGATTTCTACTTTCAGACATGTTAAATAGGCGTACATGCCCACATCTACAGCCACCACGACGTGTGTATGTAAGACACCCAGAGAAGCCTTATCGTTCAACAGAATATTGTAAGACATGTTAACATGCTGCGGCATCGCCTTGAATGGTTGGTGGATGTTGTCCAGTGCTGCTGGTTGTACTTGGTGCTCCACTGTCGTTACGTGTAACATATGTTTGGGATTACACTTTCTCAGAAAAGTACAGATTCTAGTTCTTTTGTTGGGTTGTTTCCCATCCAGGATTCGAAACCACACCCTCAGAGTCAGACACCTAATCGCCAGCACACGAAGTCAGACGCCTAACCCGCTCAGCCATCACGGCTTGCTGTCGTTACGTGGTGGTCGACCGTGGGTTGTGCAGGAATGTACCCCTCGGTTGACTGGCAGAAACCAGACCACCGGTATTATAACTGCACTGAGCCTTATCGAACTGTTTAAAGCTTGCGCATGAAAGTATCATAAATCGTCAATGCCATCGTGATAACAAGCATTCCTATTTCTTAAACTATAATAAAACCCTCCGTTATCCGGAAATCGCCACGCAGGAACACATGTTGACCCCAGGTGTGGACAACTCTTGTTATTCAACCGTTCTCCAAAACTTTCAGTTATATATATACACTCAATGTCTCCCAATGGGTCTCGACAGGGGATAGAAGCTCCTGTAAAGGCGTTGTTTTACTTCTCACCCTGTAACAACAATGCGACTATACTGAGGCGGGCCTCTTATTATTGCACTGACATATGATAATATAAACCACTGCCAAATGGTATCCTTGTCCTTCAGACCGCCGTCTGGTTTCAGAGCTGAAAGTCACTTTTCGATCCACGACGACGTCTTACCAAAAGGGGGTGGTGGGGTAGAGTACAGTAGTGGTTAAAGCGTTCGCTCATCACGATAAACGCCCGGGTTCAGTTCCCCACATGGGTACAAGGTGTGAAGCCCATTTCCGGTGTCCCCCGCGTGATATTTCTGTAATATTGCTAAAAGCGGTTAAAAACCCAAGTCACTCACTCCCACCAAAAAAAAGAAACAAGTTTCAACAATGTACACATAGTGAATTCGAAGTGTGTTCTTTCTGTCGTTTCTTTTACAGTTACAGTTGATTGGTTTTCTCTTTAGAGTATCTGGGATGGGTTACAATATATTGAAACTGTTTTACACTTATAATGTCTTATGCCCAGACTTAGCGGTTTAGGATTGTGTGAAAGATCTAGCGCTACGTGCCCATATGTCTGGTTCTCTGTGTACGCTGCGCATAGCGCAATGTTCAGCGAGACTTCCGGTTCTTTTCTGTTGCTGCTCTGGAATCTGTTACCCTATAGTTAAGCACATTTCTGCGATTACAAATGGACGTGACAGTCGTGGGAAGCTGCATGACTGATTTAGTCAGGTAATGTGGTTTACAATCCTCTAAACTATATTCATGTTACCGTAATGTAACAATGGTTCCGATAAAATAGTTATCGCGCGGACCTCGCAGCAAAAACATGCGATTTAGTGGGAGGGACCGATTTATATGCTCAAACCTCAAATAATTTGTGTGTGTGTGCTTAAAGTAATTATACTGGTCAGTTAGATAATTATTTGTGATGAAAGATCGATCAGGTGATGTTCATCTTGTTTTCATTTTGTGTTGAATCACCTCATGGTAGATGTATCACATAACATGTTTACAATAATGGACAGATAATTTACACCTTGGCCAGACTTTGTCCCAAAGAAGACACATATATGTAGAAATACTCACAGGTTATTCATATTAACATGAAACACGGACCTCTATCTGAAAAAACCCAATCAAATATGTATTGCAGTCAGATAGAGTTCTTAAGTTATTTTAAGTCTGATTATCACAAATGAAGCAAATCAGTTCTTAAGGGCCAACAGAAAGTCAAAAGGGCCATAGGTAAAAAAAGAACATACAAACTAATATCTTTTTTGTTTTATTATATTAATATTTATTATTTATATTTGTATCAATATGTAAATGTGTAAAAAGTAACAAAAGTAAAAATTTCAGTGTGATCATCATACACTCGACAGTTGAGTGGTTCAAATGTTCAAATAGTGGTTCAAGTGGTTCAAATGTTCACAATTCACTCATCTTTAGAGTTCACCACAGACATCATCACTAGACACATCATCATACACATTCCACTGCAATCATTCCACTGACGTGGTAGGGCCATAGATTCGTGAGCACATGTTCAAGAGCGCAGCAGGTAACAGTTCCCCATCCCTATACATTTGCTATGCCTCAAACAGTTCTTCCTGGTCCTTCTTTGCTGAGTGTCTGAATTAGTGGTTGAAATGTTCGTCTTATATAGCATTATGAGTCATGAGACCAATCACATCTAATTAGATTAATGACACCCGTGACTCTGTTTAAACCTCTTGTAATCATTACAGAAACAGTTGTATGGTTGACCACAACATCAACACTTAACCACTGCTGTAAATCTTGTTTAGGTTACTGACTACTTGTAATCATTACACAAACAGTTGTATGGTATAAAGTAAACACTTAACCACTCTTTGATTTTTTAAATCAACAACACTGAGGCACTCTGACGTATTTAGGATGTTTAGGATTAGAACTACTGCTAATTTTTGTAAACGTTTGGCCCTTTTGACTTAAGTCTATGGCCCTTTTGACTTTCTGTTGGCCCTTTTGACTTTCCTTTGGCCCTTTTGACTTTTTCAATTTTGGCCCTTTTGACCTGTTCCCTAGACAACTGCTTGTCATCAGTGTCTGTGGATGTCAGAAACTGGGGGGAGTAGGTAAAGGTGCCTGAAAGTTGGATGTGTTAATAAATGTATTAAAAATGTGCACACTTAAAAACAGATTCAATGATGTTTTCTTGTAGATGAACATTGTATTCATGTGTAGTTAAACACAGCAAACTCGCCAAATGATTTTTCCATGATTCCAGCTGTTGTTTGTCATAATATATCTGAAATGGCACTGTTTCATACTAAGTGATTCATTAAACGGGAAACATAGATGTCTCCTGGTCTCCATAAAGATCTTAACATTTTCTACAATAGGTTCATTAGCATCATTTTGGAATAACCTGTACAAGTAAAGAAAGAAGGTAGTTACTGTATTTTAAACTACCATGCTATATATGCACACTGCTAAAATATAATTAGTATTGAATTTAATAAAATATTATATTTAGTTGTTTAACTTTATTGAAAACATGTCATCCATCTTGCAATCCGATGCAACCACCTCGCTGCAACGCCCTTACCCACCCTTGCTACCCTATCATGCAACCATGGCAAGCCTCTTTGTACACATGCAAATCCCTCGTGCAGCTCCTTCATACACCCCTACAACCCCATAACACTCATGCAACCCCAACACACACCTTTGTAACCCTTTCACATACCCTTGCAACACTCGCTTACACCCATGTAACCCCATCACACACCCATGGTACCCCTCCATGCACCCATGTAACCCCATCACACACCCATGGTACCCCTCCATGCACCCATGGTACCCCTCCATGCACCCATGTAACCCCATCACACACCCATGGTACCCCTCCATGCACCCATGGTACCCCTCCATGCACCCATGTAACCCCATCACACACCCATGGTACCCCTCCATGCACCCATGGTACCCCTCCATGCACCCATGGTACCCCTCCATGCACCCATGTAACCCCATCACACACCCATGGTACCCCTCCATGCACCCATGCCACCCATGTAGCTATTTTTGTGAATGTTGTCATGAACTCCCTTCAGTTCGGATTGTGAAAGATAGTCACTAATTTGGTATATTTCTTTGCAGCTATGCCCCAAGACAACCCAAACCAGGGGAGACTATCCATGGCACCAACTTTCAAATTGGCTTTGGTGGCAAGGGGGCAAACCAGTGTGTGATGGCTGCCAAACTGGGAGCCAAGACAGCCATGGTTACAAAGGTACTTCAAGTTTATTTTGAACTTAATATGACCATTGAAAAGGTTTAGCACTTTTCTGAAGAAAATCAAAACAGGTGAAATATCTAATTAGATTATCCACTGAGCCTGACCATCTGTGGTCACTTAGGCCAGGACCTCTTCTTCATCCTAAACAATGGATGTTTAGCTATGTACAATGTAGAGCTATTTTATCTTAGATTTGGTGTACTGAATTATTATTAATGTTTTCTGTTTTTGATTCTCAGGTTGGAGATGATAGCTTTGGAAAAAATTATATTCAGAATTTTAAAGACCACAACATTAATATTGGTAAGTAACCTTATGGATCAGAGAATAAACGCCACTCTTTAGGAGCTGCTCACTTTTGTTTTATCAGCCATGAATCCTAAAACTAAATTTCAAACAGTATGTAAGAGTAAATATATTGTTAATGTATTGTGTTTACATGTTCAAGGAGGCTGATGTAAAAAAGGTTACTCTTTAAGATAGGGAAGTCAGAAGATATCCTGTCAAACTATTTTTATATTATTCTTTGATTTGCTGAGGTAAGTCATATCTTGAAACGACAAAATATTAGAATATTTCCATTAGGAAAAATATTATGAAAGTGGTGTAAAACTAACTCACCTACTCTTCGCATCCAGATCATGTTGGGGTGACAGCAGACGCGTCAACAGGAGTTGCACCTATCACAGTCAGTGATGATGGTTTGTGAATACATCTCCAGTTTGCCATTATGAGAGATATTGTCTGATGTTTGTTGACATACCAAGTCCCAATTACTCAATTTGTTGGTCGAAGGCAATAAGACTGAGAGGGCAGGCACTTCGACACATCTGTGCATGGATCAGATATGTTCAGTCACTGGCAGGTCCAGAGAGAATTATTCTGATGTTCTGTTGTGGATTGAATATTGTGACTGTGGCCTAAAACAGCATTTCCTCCCATACTGTACACAGGCCGCATGCCCCAACCAATGTAATCACAGACACTTGGTACTGGTGACACAGAGCATGTGTCATTTGATTGTAAACTGGATGAGGAACTCAGGGATTCATGTAAGAAAGCTGCAATTTGGCGGAAAGTTTGCTAGCGGCGTCTGTGTTTTTGTATTTTCCAAAACATTCCTAGTGATTCTAGGGTCTTCAATGATGTTTCAGAATAATCATTAGTGATTAGATTGGAAAAAAAATACTGGTGATCTCTAATATGCTTTTTTGAAATTCAGTTCTCCAAGTAAATATACCATATTTAGATTTCAAAACATTCACTAAACACTGTGAATGAAAATTTTGTAATGTATCAAGAATGGTGAGATTTATGATGCATGTTGTTTTCCGTAATTTCGCCCACCCTACAATGAGTGGATACCACAGAAGAAGGAATTTCCAATAGATTATATATCGTAAGTTACGACTAATGGGATCGGGGGGTCAGGCTTGCTAACTTGGTTAACACATGTCATTGTATCCCAGTTGCGTAGATCAATGCTCATGCTGTTGATCACAGGATTGTCTGGTCCAGACTAAAAAAAAACTAACCAACATACCAGCTAGTACAAGTATTGCAACATCCTGACAAAAAATAGGATCCCGATAATGGAACACAGAGCCCCTTTAACAGAGTAATGGACTGACCCTGCCCTGGGTCTGTGTATAAACATGTTCATCTCCCTCAGGTCAAAACTCCATAGTGATAGTTGCTGGTGCAAACATGTTGTTGAGTGAACAAGACGTGGCTGCTGCCGAGCATCTGATCATGACAAGCAAGGTGATTCTGTGTCAGCTGGAGATCCCGGTCCAGTCAACACTCACTGCTCTGAACATCGCCAAGAAACGTGGAGGTAGGCTTCCTCCTTGCACAGAACAGATCCATGGTACCCTTTCTTGTCATCTCATGTACTCCTGGTGCTTCTTCACCTGGTAATTCCAGTGGATTATTTTGAATCTTGTCCCTTTTACACAGGTAATTCCAAGTGGGATCATACCATGAAGTTGCATTCACTCACCCACACTAAGAGGAGACATTTGTCTTTTGCTTTTGTTGCCAGTTAAAAGCATCTTCAATCCTGCTCCTGCTCAGGAGGGCCTTCCATCAGAGCTGTATTCAGACTGTGACATATTCTGTGCCAATGAATCAGAAGTAAGTAGAAAAAAGCAAAATGGTCAAGTACATCATGTTTAATATTTGAGTTGACAAAAATTACCTCTTTATCTGTTTGCAGGCCAGATCAAATTGTACACTGCTGAGAGTCAGATGTACCTTTGTGGCAGTGCAGTTTCGGTCACACAACTCCAGCGGTGATGTCCCACTGAGCCATATATGGAATGTGTCTTTTTGTAATCACATTCTTGTATAAAATCTAACATAAACTCTGTTGAACTGTGAACAAATAGTTTGGCCTATTCATCCATGGAAACATGGGTTAGGTCCCCAGGTTGGTTTTGTCCAGATTGCAGATGCTATATATAAACTATCAGCTACTGGCCAAAAGTTCTTTACAGTCTGCCATGGCCCATGATAAAGCTGGATTACAGATGAATCACTGACAACATTCACTCATTTCTGCTGTAACTTTAGACATTTTCTGAAGAAGTGCTAGTAAGCTGGAGTCTTGCTGCTTTTCTTTTGTTTAACTTGAATAATGGGGTCTTGATCAACATGTCCCAACATTTATGTCTGTGATAAGGCAAGAGTAGATTTTCTGCTTCACTTGGTTACACGCTGAAAAAACACATTTCACTTTTGTTTACAGGCAGAGATTCTTACTGGTGAGAAGGTGTCCAGTATAGAGGATGCCAAGGCAGCAGCGCTTACACTGCTAAACAAGGGATGTAACTCTGTTGTCCTTACGCTGGGGGAGCTGGGGTCAGTGTATGTATCACAGACAGAGCAAGAACCACAAGTTGTGCCCTGCCCTAAAGTGATACCAGTTGACACAACAGTGAGTACATCCCACAATTCCTAGTTTTTCTGACGACACGGTCTTGAACAACAGAACAGTTTTACCGGAAATAAAATGTTTTACAAATCATGGCAGGTAAATGTGACATTTTTGTTGTTTAGCGCTGCAGTAAGCAGTATTCCTGCTACAGGCTGGCAGGCTGGACCCAACTTTTAAGTGATTAATACCAGAGACCATATAATAGACTCTATTATATGGTCTCTGTTAATACCAAGAGTATTTATCTGTATATAAGCGTTATGATATTATCAACCAAGTCACTAACACTGGCCACATGTTGGATTTACAAGTAGGTTGCAGGGGACCTATACTTTTACCTGGAATTACAAGAGATAATGATGATTATAATGGTTATCATGATGATGATGATTATAATGGTTATCATGATGATGATGATGATTATAATGGTTATCATGATGATGATGATGATGATTATAATGGTTATCATGATGATGATGATTATAATGGTTATCATCATTATGATGATGATTATAATGGTTATCATGATGATGATGATTATAATGGTTATCATGATGATGATGATTATAATGTTTATCATGATGATAATGATTATAATGGTTATCATGATGATGATGATGATTATAATGGTTATCATGATGATGATGATGATTATAATGGTTATCATGATGATGATGATTATAATGGTTATCATGATGATGATGATTATAATGGTTATCATCATTATGATGATGATTATAATGGTTATCATGATGATGATGATTATAATGGTTATCATGGTGATGATGATTATAATGGTTATCATGATGATGATTATAATGGTTATCATGATGATGATGATGATGATTATAATGGTTATCATGATGATGATGATGATTAAAATGGTTATCATGATGATGATGATTATAATGGTTATCATCATGATGATTATAATGGTTATCATGATGATGATGATTATAATGGTTATCATGATGATGATGATTATAATGGTTATCATCATCATGATGATGATTATAATGGTTATCATGATGATGATGATTATAATGGTTATCATGATGATGATGATTATAATGGTTATCATCATGATGATGATTATAATGGTTATCATGATGATGATGATTATAATGGTTATCATGATGATGATGAAGACCATGACAATATTGGTAACAAAATCAGTTAGTCTGAGATCACAAGGTACTCCAAATGGACATTGGTTGACTCCCATGTTGTTTCAGGGAGCTGGAGATGCCTTCCTCGGAGCATTGGCCTATTACCTGGCCTTGTACCCCAAGATGACTGTGCTGGAGGCGCTGACTCGCTCCAGTCGTCTGGCCTCCATCAGTGTCCAAGCCAAGGGCACACAGACCAGCTTCCCCAGCCGGAAGCAGCTGCCGTCAGACCTGTTCCAGTGATTTACAATTCATACAAATTACACTGGATGCCCTCGACCAATGATGCTATGGCGTTATTTTCAGTAGATTGTTTGAGAAGGTCATGAACAAAAGCATGTGCAAGAAGTTAAGACAGTTGAATGGCTAAGATCTATTTGTGGAACTGCAAGTTGTACATGTACAAGCTGTAGGATGGTGTCAGACAGACGTGTCATCCAGATATGCTGTGTGTGTTGTTACATCTACAGTGATATTACCCAGGACAATGATGTTATCTCAGGTGAAGTAATCAATATAACATTGCTAGATAATCTAATGCCGTTATTGTCATATCTGTCATGTTTCTAATTCATGAAAACAATGCAGATGAAAACTTATGTACCTCCACTATGGTGCCAGCACTGGTGATTCAAAGACCAAACTCAGTTTTGCACACTTTACTCTCTTGTGATTGTACATACACATGCCTTTATCAAAAGTGTTGAAACATAGGGGCATTCACTTACTTTGTACATAAATGTTATAGGGGAGTCATTCACATTGTACATGTTTCTCCATAAAAATCATCATCACCCCTGAACGGTTTCTCAGATTATCGATTGACATCATTTGGTCATATTTCTCTTTTGCGGTACCTACTCATTATAAAGTCATGAGGCAGTAGAGTATTGTAGGTTACCAGTAAACAAGGTTTGTGGACGAAAGTTAAATGAAACGCTCATTAAATGGTGAGTGTTATGTCGAGCGATGGCGATAGACAGCATTTAGTAAATTAGAGTGACCCCACTTAGTTTACGGTCCAATCTCCGTACCATCGGTTGGCGTCTTCGGTGTCTTCCAGGGCCATGTCCGGAGACTGTTTCCTGAAGCCTATGCAGAGTCATACAACCGGCGCAGTGATGACGTTGCCTTGTTGTAGATTACCGAAAATGCTCACGGTTTATCACATGACCCCATTTTCTCTTGGTTGTAACCAAACTTGATATTCTCAAACCAGAGCAGTCCGGCCGGTGGGGAAGCCAGTTCGAATTATAAATTGTTTTTGCAGAAGAAAGGGTTGTGTACTTTCCAATTTCTGGGTAACCTCCGCGTTTCAACTTAATTGGGATGGCTGGTTTGTTGTTTAACGCCACACACAGCAATATTCCAGCTACATGGACGCGGTCTGTAGATAATCGAGTCTGGGCCAGACAATCCAGTGATCAACATTATGAACATCGATCTACGCAATTGGGATACGATGACATGTGTCAACCAAGTCAGCGAGCCTGACCACCCGATCGCGTTAGTCGCCTCTTACGACAAGCATGGGTTATTGAAGATCAAATCTAACCCGGATCTTTTCAAATTGGGAGTCACGCTTAACAATATGCCTATGCATAAATATAAGGAATTATACAGAAGACGAAGCTGGCGTTAACGATGGTATATTTTCACAGAAACTAGTTATTGGTCAATTTTATATATATAGATCTACCCCTTGTACGGTTGGTCTCCACTTACGCACTGGAGGTACGTTTGTTTTATTCACTGACCATTAACTAGTACTTATGTGTCATGTTCTGGGAAATGATAGAAAAATATCATTCCAATTATTCATATCATTGATCATTTAATTCTATGGCTAGTTATTGAATGTTACCCAAAGATTGATTTCGTTATAAAGTGATCGTTTATTGTTATAGCGAAATTATGATCTTTTGTCTATACATGGTGATTTATACACAGCCGTCTTCACATCATGCATCACAGCGGCCACCTAAACTGGTCGAAGATACAATCCACCTTACTCATGCACCCGAAACTTAACCCGTTTGGATTTGTATGTTCCTGTGTTGTAGTCGGGTCATTACTGACTACAGTGTGAAGCTACTGTGGGACTGGGGATCGGTATGCTTTCCCGTAATCAATCTCAACACCATGGGGAGTATACAACTCCAGCTGCCCCAAGACCTAGATGTTTTAACATCAACCTGGCATTTCAGGTACGCATTCACTGCTGTATGAAAACAGGCACATTTGGACCACGTCTGCTTCTTCCTGAAGTCTATAGGGTTCGAGGCTACAATAGTTTAGGCATTGCTGACCATGGTGTGAAAACTCACTCGGCTCTTTGCTTCGTTACAGTTGGCAGAATGTCATTACACGGCAAATAAGCCCTCTTTAATCGCCTGGTTAGATCCGTCGGTTAGTATCGATTTGACGATATGGAACCACCTGGTCAGCTCTGATATAGATCGGGAGTGTAGCACAATCGAATTTCATGATACTAAACAAGACTCGTCACCATAGCAACTTATTAGTCAATTTCCGGAGTGTGTGCAACGTACAGGTGGCTGGACAAGCCTTGGATAAATCCTATTGGTGGGATGGGGAGGAAAGACGACCCTGTGGTATGGGCAGTGTGTAATGAATGCGTCTGTTGTGTATCAGCTTAAATGAATGACATATCATAAATTTATTAGAAAACATACGCATCAAATGAAAAATCCGTCTATCCCATTAATAGACATGATTCCTAAAACACAATACTGAGGTTTCGGTTCTGAAGATAATTAATCTAAAGTCAGAAGCGATGGAGTTAAAGCAACACAGATTATTTAAAGATTGAAACCATATGTGTATGATTCGGGTGATATTCGTCCAGGCACTGGTCTGTGTCGTGTTAGGCTCGTTAACTGTAATACCGCCGCAGCCTACACACGGCTCTAATCCCCTCATGTTAGTACCAAGCCAAGTGTTGGTCAAAACTAGCATTAAATGATCATATGATAATGCCCATGCATGTACCCCAGTGGTTAATCAAGTCTGTTCGCGTTCAACTAACGCATTGCCTTTATCGCTCTCCTACCACGAACAAAACTTCGAAATGAGACGCATGATAGACGCCCGCCATGAAGGGCAGTGAGCCTGTGTACCCGCTATAGACAACGGCAGCCCGTGTCTTTAAACCAACACAGGTGATTGGATTTTACCTGGCCACTAACGTGTGTATATCTCAGCAGCGCGGTGTATTGTCTCTAAGCGGAGATTCAGTTACTAATGCAATGTGTTACTTGGATCTACCTGTAGTTTACCTGGACGCGCACCTGTATGTAACGTTTTAGTAGGGGAGAGTTTACACTCAAACTTCGTCTACAGGAATGTGTCATCTCTAAATCAACATGAGTGACACTGATCGGGATATGGATAACCCCACGCCTACCTCACAGGTAAGATCTACCAGGTTACCATAGCAACGGGGACGCTAAGGGAAAACGTGCTTCCGTTATGATAATGTTATACATATTATAGGTTATGATTTGTAGTTGGTATATAATGCTAGATGTATGTAGTGTTATTGGCTTGACTGTCATATCGCACCTGTCTATTTTGCCTGTGTTTATTGTCCTGGATTATGCGTTCCCTGGAAGCGGCGATCTAATATACTACTGACCGACTTAACAACTCCGTTCCGACACAGGTTGAAAGAGATTAGCTTACTTACATGGTAGTTCTTACTGAGCAGCCCGCTTTAGCCTTTTCTCACGTGGAAGAAATATACATTGTATATTTAACTTTATACGTGAGGATAGCATTGCTGAGGGGATAAATCTGATCATCTGCGCGCCATTCACATGATCTCATTCATCTAGCATACATTATATCGTCTTGTTTTCGTGAAATTATATTTTGATATGTCAGTTGATACTTATTGCTACCGCATCAGTGGTGTTCAGATGGTACGGAACTGGAGGCAGTGGGGTAGCCTAGTGGTTAAAGCGTTGGCTCGAAACGCAGAAGGCCGACGTTCGATTCCCCACATGGGTACAATGTGTGAAGTCGATTTCCGGTGTTCCCCGCCGTGATATTTTCTGGAATATTGCTAAAAGTGGCGTAAAACTATACTCACTCACTCACTCGTACGGAACTGACCATTTTTTATACTGGGGTTTGTTTTAAGGCAAAAATACGGAGTAGTCAGTCCTGAGCTGTAGTGGGAGCACATGCCATATTTTAAAGCCCCTGGTTTCCCTTGCATTAGTGGTGCGGACATCAAAGTCATAAGTCGCTAGTCACCCTTCTTTTCACAAACACCATCAACACCCTCAAAAAATCAGATACGAATGTCCAAAGAACTACTTGTGCTGCTCTGCGTCACAATGAACAATAACGCAGTTGTAGGCGCCGGCCTGCACATCATCGGATCCAAGCCATGCAGATCAGTTGCTGATAGCATAATAAAGAACGTCCACCTAGTCGGGGCACGATGGCTCAGTCAGGTCAGACATTGTGACCACCCGATCCCCACTGCCAGTCCATTTCTATCACAAGTGCATGGGTCCGTCTTTGACATGGGATCATCAATGAGCGTTTTTACAAATGAGAATGAACCAGTATGTATATTTCACACACAAAGGCGTGAATGTACAGTGGATTATTGGATACCTCAAAACCTTTTTGAAACTATTCGCCAGTGCTAATGTCAGGTACAGCATTCAAATATCACTTCCTCACCTGAATGTACCCCGAGAATGCATGGACACATGTAACGCTCTATCAACTACATGTATTTGACGCCCCAGACCGTGTACTTGTATGGTCAAACACGTACGTACTCTTTCCTTTAGAAACTGTCGAGTATAGAGGTAAAGTTCAGAAATAAGCGCAGGGTCTCTAATCAGGTGCTGCTAATGATTTCTCCGAATGTACATTTGAATGTAAGACAGCATTTCAGCATTCTCAAGACTCCCAAATCGCATGTATGACAGGGAAAATGGCATAAATTCGTTAAAGCAAACTGAACTTAGTACGGGTCCCATTGGAGGTCATGTCTAGTATCTTAGCGCTAAGACGATTACAACATCCATATGGTAAAACCGAGTATCGTGAACACACTCATGTATTTCACAAGCTGTCCGTGATCAGTACGCCATCTTTCACATTTTTAAAGAATTGAACAACATGTTTTAACCAAATTGGAAATCTACTCTTGAAAACAGTTCACAGTATAAGATGTATACAGAATATAGGTCTCCATGAGCCAGAGGGGTATCTAATACTATCTACTTTCCCATTTGGAATATAGATTCTGTAAAGTGTTCATCAAATTCAGAACTGTGGTGTCTTACGTTGAAAGAATACTAGTAACCTAGGAATGTGGCAAAATATTGATGTATCCCAAAGAAAAAGTAATATCACTTTTTGTTAAAAATGTATGACTTATAAAGAACTTCGGGATAGATTTTAGTGTAACAATTTGCAAGTTAAAATGATATCTTTTAGCAATATCTTTACACAAAACAAAACTGAAGACATTACCACTGTAACTCGTTTCATCTAATACGCTCATGCTGTCACCGGACTGCCTGGTCCAGATTCGAATATTAACAGCTTGTCATCAAATACCTGACATGTTGATGAGTTAAACAACGAATAAGCAAACCATCTGCGTCTTATACTTGGGGAAATATGGTATGTATTGTGTAAATAACGCCATGAACGGGAGACGTTTGACGCCGTCACGGTAATCTTTCCAACACATACAGGTGTCACACTCCTGCATACAGGAGTTTAACAACGTATCTTGAACGAAACTGAAATTGACTTTATTTAAACATTGCCAGGGTCACGTAAACAGACAACCCTATCTTGTCTATTTTGTATTTTCTTTTTGCGTTATGTGAGGTGCTCTATGCCAACCTGGTGTGCCTTTTCATGAATCCATACCGCTTTATACTTGTGCGGCAGTACGTGTTGCTTGAATCTGTTTAATTCAGTGCGTGGGTCTATGTAGTTCTGTCTACAGTATAGGTGTATACGAGGAGAGTGGGCCTGTACAATAGGGAGGAACTTGAGACGGTATGGTTCAATGGAGTATAAACACGAGACTGGGACTTGAAACCGATCATTGCATATACAGTGATATTAACGATCATAATTCTTACTGTAGTCTGTGAAACTACGTAAGCGTATTAATCCGTATGGAAATATTACTTTAATATTTCGTCTTTTTGACTGACTGAGTTTGGTTTTACGCCGCTTTTAGCAATATTCCAGCAATATCACGGCGGGGGACACCAGAAATGGGCTTTACTCATTGTACCCATGTGGAGATTCGAACCCGGGTCTTCAGCGTGACGAGCCAATGCTTTAACCACCAGGCTACCCCACCGCCCCCGTCTTTTTGATGATCCGGTTAAAGTATATTTCTGAAATGAATATCCAGATTGCCCTTTATCCGTATGTTCCTTGTGTGGGAGTACTTTTCGCGTCCAACAGTTTAAAACAGAACACGCTCATCCCTGTCGTAAAACGAAAAACCTGCAAGCCTCGCCATTCCTTGTGCACGGTTCGAATCCCACATTTACCCTATGGTTTGTTGGTTGTCAGCAGATCGGAATTCATTTACACAAACCGATATAAGCACGACGATGCTCTCTATGTGCATCAGGTGGTCAGGGTCGTTGTCATGGAGCATAGACAGATGCTCGGGATGTCAGTCACTGGATTGCCTGGTCCAGATTTGATTATTTACAGACCTCTGTCATATAGATATAGTATTGTGTGGCGATAAACAAAACAAACAAAACGTCAGAACCACCTGAACATGCCTGTTTCTAGTTATGTATACAGTGCTATACATGTGACACGACGTCTGCTTGAAGCTGGAGAGTGATAGGCGGCACACCTTGCTCCAGAGGTGAGAGAGGTGTGTTTATGGCTACTTGTTTCGGCCCTAGGTTGGCATGGGTTCACTTTCTTGGACGGTATGAGTACCGTTCATATTTATAAATGGCGTAAATACGACGTTAACAGATAGGACTAAGTTTGGTTTAACAACGCTTGAAACAATATATCAGTTATACCCAGGCGTGTCAGTTTGATAAGGGAGGGAAACCCGAAGTACTGCAGGTGTTACACGTTTACCGCTTTTGTGCTCGTGCTGGCAAACCCCGGGTCAACTCCAATCTCTGCATCACACTCAGCACAGCGACCTGAGATTATTTGTTAAGAAAGTTTAGAGTTGTGAAGGTGGTCTAACTACGGTACGACCTACCCACCCACGCACGCTCGCTCGCACGCACACACACACACGTACGTACGCGCGCTCTCTCCCACAGACCCCCAATGGATACAGTCTCTCTTGTCAGCAGCCTTTGATTACATCGCGAGTTGGTTTTCTATCCATGAAACAGTAAAATATATTTGCAATTGGAGAATAATTAAAATGAGCTTAGCCACACGGCAAATAAAGCCATCCGGTAATTAACTCCAAGGAAATATTCAAATTCCGTAACAGAAAATAATATTCATTGCAGCGTATTGCGATTCCTTGAGGTTTAATTACTCGTATGTATGCATCGACGGATTTCATTGCTTGTGATGTATGTGTAACAAACTGATATATTTCACTGTAAAGAATTTAAACAACCACTCAATAGGTTTCCTTAAAATCGTTACAAGAAGAATCAGTTTTGCAATGATTTATTCATGTATCGAGTGTGTTATTCCCAGCGCGCCGGTACTGGACTCACTTACCACCAACGTTTGTCGCTTCCAGACACGTTCAAGGACGAGATATATGTTAGGTGTAATTACCACGCTGATATCGTGACCTATCAGTCGGCGTGTTGTGATCATGTGACGCAACAATTTGTAGACAACGTTTTGAATACCTGCAGAGCTACTGTAAGAACACCATGATGCTTTTTAAAGCGTCCACACTGAAAATCTGACACCGAGTGTTAGCGGAAAGGGTAACGGCACCTCCCTCTTCCGTCGTTAGGCACAGTAGCGTTAGAAGATGGTACAGATACAAATGAGTGAGCGAGTGAGTTTAGTTTTACGCCGCATTCAGCAATATTCCAGCTATATGGCGGCGGTCTGTAAATAATCGAGTTTGGACCGGACAATCCAGTGATCAACAGCATGAACATCGATCTACGCCAGTGAAGATCAATTCTAACCCGAATCTTGGAAGTAGGCTGTGTAGTGTGGAATTCATCACGTGTCGAATCAGTACGCATTCATGCAACTCCATTTGTATACAACGGGACCCAAAATGCAAATCTCGTCCTCTGTTCCGTGATCAGCGTTCGAAATTAACGTCGGTCCTTAGAGCCTGCAGCTTTTCAGTGTTAAGAGCAAACACTGTACGTGATCTTGCATACCTGGCTCCCGATCCACAAAGCGTTCGTAGCGCTACGACATTCGTAAGCCTATGATAAACTATACAGTTACGACAGGTCGTAACATTACGAACGCTTTGTGGATCGGGGCCCTGATGCATTTAATATAATAAATTGTAGGGTTACATTATGTGTTTCAACCTCAGTGTGACAGTTCATTTGGAAGCTAAGAGTTTGTTTGTCGTCATACCATCAGGATGCGTGCATCACCTACATACGGTAGATAAACTACGCAGCGCTGTTCTTCACCTTGACTGAAAGAAAATGCAGCTATCGTAAAATTGTCTGTTGCCTTGACGGCGGGGTATATTTTTGGCAGTTGTAAAGAGATATCTAGAGAGAAATTACCTAGATGTAAATGACACAAACAGGGGCGGATACAGCTTTTTGAGAAGTGGGGTGGTGTGTCATGCTTCATTTTCACGAGCGTTTCAATGGTCATTTAATAAAAGGACAAAAAGGGAGGGGGGGCGCACCCCTCCTCTGTATCCGCCTATGCACAAACAGTATACAAGTTAAGCGAGATGAAGATTCACATTCGCTTTGAGGCATGGCGCCAAAATCGCAGACAAATAAATAGGGCGATATATGCGAGTTAAAACACGGAGTAATCGCGAGTCTCGGATTAATTGCCTCCTGCACGAAATACATCCGTAAATCATTTACATCTCACTCGGTAAATAAGCTGTGATGAAACTTTCATGGTGTGATTTGTGTGATTGCAGGATTGGCTGGCATGAATGTGTTAATAATAGAATTGTCTCCGATTGGATGAAGTGGCATGAGCGTGACTGGGCTAAATACAGTTAAATCGGAATTATCGCAGATTGTTTATTTATTGTTTAACGCCGCCGATTTTCCAGCTATATAACGGCGGTCTGCAAATAATTGAGTCGCGACCAGACAATCAAGTGATTGACATCTTGGACATCCATATACACAAATGACATTCGATGACATGTATCAACCTAGTCAGCCAGCCAACCCTCCGATCCCATTACTCGCATTGTTTAAAACCAGTTCTTACACGGATCTTCACGTATATATCACATAACGATAGCTAAATGACCTCTCAGCAGGTGGAGCAAATTCCGCATGTCTGTGAAGGGTGTAAACAAATTAGCTTCACACTTTTGTCGTATTACATAACATGTAGGTTATTTTCACGTGTATAATGTAATGATTATGTGGTAACCATCGCTTATGCGATGGTTAATTGTATATACATTGATATCCAATGTATCCTAAACTCACTCACTCACAATGACAGGCAACCAAGTCAAGGGACGCCGGTGTTCCCTAAGCATGGACAGTTACTATACACTGGGTAACAGTTACATATTCGTTTAATACTTGTTAGAGAATCGTTTATACCAGTTTCGTCAGTATGAAACGCTCCGGCAACATGCTTTAAATAGAATAATTTCTGCGCTGAAACTGCTGTGAGTGAATCAATGAGGTAATCCATCAATATTTAATTGTAATAAGGAAAAAGGCCTAATGCACAATGGAAGCTACAGAACAGCGCGGTATAAGAGCGCATAATTTACAGTCTTATCCTTAAGAACTCAGAAACAGTACAAGTTTTCTGGAAAAATCAATAAGCGCACATATGGAGTCTCTGAAAGGTCAACTACTAGACTTAGCTAGATTCTCATGCGCTGTAGCTCACCGATCACGCTTAGATATATATATTCGGATTCCTTCTGGGGACATATTGTGAAGTGTTTTCTTGGTGATGACCTCATTGTAATCCCAAGGTACTGTATATCCCCAGCACCTCATGCATCGTTAAATCCGTCAATACTAAGCATGTGAGTTTAGTGTTTAGATATGATTGTGCGACATCAGACTCCGACAACGTCTATCGCTGTTCATGGGATCAACCTTGCATTTACATATATTGCTGGAGTAAAGGAAACAGTATTACTTCATTCTCTTGTTGTACTGCCGTGTAACGTCGCTGTACCTGACTCATGTCTCCTGTAGTCTCTCATCGAATGTCTGGTGTTTTCTTGCAGTCTGATCCTATATCTGAGGTCGACTCTCTTAAGCCCCCTAGTGGTGGACAGGATGATGTCCCTCCTCCCAGTTCGAGGCCCACCTCACAGGGTCGAATACCCACACTGGGGGGACGGGCAACACTCAGCCGCACCCCCGTGTCTATGCTGGAGCAACAACACGATGAGGATGAGTCTGTGCTTATAACGGAAGTGAAAGATCAAACCGAGGAAGAGCCCGAGAGAGAAAGAAATCTACTTCCGGTGGCAGAAATCGAGGAAGAACAGCCGACAGAAGAAGGGGAAGGAGAAGAGGAGGAAGAAGAAGAACTGAAAATATCGGACGATGGGGGAAGCCGAGAAGATGAGGAAGAGACATTTGAAGGCGATGTTTTTCAACATGTTACCATAGAAACGGTTGATGTGGAACCAAGGGAAGAGGACTTTGATACTGATCTTGAGGAAGAATGTGAGTCTCAAAACAATTTTAACCTTGACACTATCACTACATTAACGAGGCTCCCATCCAAAAAGCTATCTCAAAACTCCCAACTACCGTACTATCACGGATCAGAATATTCAGTCATTGACACTATCATGGTTGATATACAATAAACTTCTACTCATATTTTTACCAATATTTACATACATTAATTGCACGATAAACTGTTGACGCCACAGGGTGACGTTAATTCTGCCATTGTGCTTTGTTGAGACACCAGGACAGTATAACCGAGATGGGTCCTCTAATTGAGTACAACTAATCTGTAACGCACTATACTATACTACCCATCAAAAGTTTAGACTCACATAAAGCACTCACTATATGTTATGTATATATATGTGGTTACATCGGAGATGAATTTCTCCACTAACTTAGGGGAACCAACTGCAAACCTTAAGCAGATGAATTGCAGGAGGATCATGCATCAAATTGCTGAAAAGCATGTGCAAATATTGTGCATGTGAACAGTTGCGTTTTGGTGTTAAGTTTTGTTAAGAATTCGCCAATTTTGACTCAGTTTCATCATTTGTTGAACTCATGACAATAATCTTTTCAACGTTACGAATTTGTTTTACAATACCTCAGTTCATGTGTAAACAGTACCCTTAAACTGTATAGAATATTTTGCAAAATCTAGTTTAAAACAGTTGACTGAAGTAAGTGGCTACATTTACACTAGTGAGTCTAAACTTTTGATGGGGAGTATATATATGGAGAGACACCCTCCAGGGATCATTGTTTCACAGCTCAGAGAATGCCTGTATTAGGGATTTTGACGAAAGAAATGTACTTGCCTGGCTATCCCACCTCCAATCCCTACCTATTATTAGGTACAATGATTGCTACCTTAAATAAATGCAGGTCAAAGTAAGTTACGTCTCCATTCGAATAACTGCATGTTCCAAATTACTCAGGTTGAGGTTTTGACTCGAATAATTGCATGTACAAAACACTCAATGTTCGGGCTCGACTTCTATAACTGCAAATTCAATAAACGCTCATTTTTACGTTGGATAAACAAACCCTCTCCTGTTACGCTAAATCTATTGTTATTGGGTAGATTGGGGCAATTATCCGGGACGATTAACAGTGTAATGGTTCCATTATCACATCCAGTATCCACGCTAGTCTTGAGTGGTTTCCTGCTGGCCGTTCTGTCACGTCAGGTCTGTTTGCCAAGTCTGTCTCTGTGAGACGGCTATTGAAGACGTGAGCTGGGGATGCGATGGAACGAAGTAAGGCGTCTTAATCTTAATCAGTCAAGATGCATTCATTTGTGTGTTCACAGTCAACTATAAGTTTGTAGTACATCAAATCAGGGGGAGGTAGTGTCTGGTGAGGATGTGCGGCGTTGTATATGGTCTATACACGTCGTAACTGCTTACTTCATATTCGTCTTTTTTCAGTATTTCTCTTTAGGTGGACTATTGTCCCTGACACGAGTTCTTCAAACTTTGTCTACGGGTTCTTCTGTTACGACGCAAGAGACAATATCGTTAATGAAGTAAAACTATCATATATTTCACATCACCCTCTCGCTTTTCATGTGGAAATTCTCTTACCAAAGGAAGTGCTACGTTCCAAAGTGTAACCCTTTCATCCATATCATACAAACCACATACGTTTGCACTGATAAGAATTATTGCTGTTTAAGAAGGCTGTAGATTACGTTCTGTTTCACCCACAACCCCGAAGTTTCTAAACTTGTCAACTCTCACCTCCAAATATTGTAATGATGTAGATGTTAACTTCAACTCGCCATATCCTCATCTGTGTTGTCAGTCCCCGAAGACGAAGAAGACCCAGTGAAGTGTGAATATGTGAAAATATGTGACCGCCTCGGTCTCGTACCCATCTCCTACTTTGTCCGGCACATCAACGACCGCGACATCGCCATGAAGTACCACGGACTGGGTCCCGCTGAGGCAAAGGCCATGGCGCTTGTGTTGAAGGTAAGGCTTTCATTGTCTCCAGCATGTAACAATCCCTTCATATTGTTGCCTGACCATGTACAGAATTTCTCCTGTGTATCTTTCAAGAAAGAAAGTGAGGCCTGTAGAAATAATTACTGGATACATATGTTTTGCCCTGGGTTCGCTAGAAAAATGATATGACTATTCTCTTGGCATCCTGAAAATGTCTCGAGTCCTAGCAATGCTTCTGGCGTTTTTCAGATCTGGAGAAACTTGGGGTCTCTCATTTGTCGTTGACACAGGTTTGATAGTATGTCTCCACTCATGTATATCGAGGTATCTCATTGGAGGCAGTCACCAGGCGACAATAAGCAACACTTAGAACCACAACTGTCTGATGCCTGGGCAAAGGATCCACATTCAGGCGCGTTAGAACACAAGCAATTTATTATTTTATTGTCAGATCCCACAAAGAGAACTCCATCACTCCGCGAGTTCTTGAGAAGCTGAGCACAATGACGGTCCCTGCGTGGCCCAGGATGACGGTCCCTGCGTGGCCCAGGATGACGGTCCCTGCGTGGCCCATGATGACGGTCCCTGCGTTGCCCATGATGACGGTCCCTGCATGGCCTATGATGACGGTCCCTGCGTGGCCTATGATGACGGTCCCTGCGTGGCCCAGGATGACGGTCCCTGCGTGGCCTATGATGACGGCCCTGCGTGGCCCATGATGACGTCTGATGCGATTAGCTCGGGCTAACCAGTCTTCCCCATAAACGGATGTTTCAGTGTTTCAATGTTTGTGTGAATCATAAATCACTGGATACACATACTCCCTGAAACTGGAGTAATGTCGTCCCTTTACAATGTTTCAGGACAATATCAACCTGGAGAAACTGGACATCTCTGGAAACTGGATCGACGCCGAGGGTGGTTACGCCATGTCTCGGATGTTGGAGGAGAACGACTACATCACTGAGATGGTAAGAAGCTGTATACGCCAAGGACGATGCTTGGGAGGATTAGATAGGACAAGAATAATGAATACTGATTGAGAAATCAGGTGTGCCAGAGAAATCATCTCCGTCATAACAATTAAAACTACTTGTTTCAAACTGATTATTATAGACAGAAGGGCCTGAATCGATTCTTCAATATGAGAAGCCCATTCTTGATGTCCCCCGGTCTGGTGGAGTTGTGTCAAAAGTGGACATATTTGCCAGATATGTACAGGACACTGCATGCTGGAAACACCAAACATGTTTTTGTTTTGTGTCCTAGGCCATGGCTGACAACAAGCTTGGTAACGATGGCGGCCTCCACGTGTGTCGAATGTTGGGCACAAACGCTGGACTTCGACGCATTGATCTGGCTGGTGAGTCACTGTACAGTATAGGTTAGAGGTTAACCTATAGTTGGGTCACTGTACAGTATAGGTTAGGTTTGTTGTGTTACTGTAAACTATAGGTTAACCTAGTTGGGTCACTGTACAGTATAGGTTAGGTTTGTTGTGTTACTGTAAACTATAGGTTAACCTAGTTGGGTCACTGTACAGTATAGGTTAGGTTTGTTGTGTTACTGTAAACTATAGGTTAACCTAGTTGGGTCACTGTACAGTATAGGTTAGGTTTGTTGTGTTACTGTAAACTATAGGTTAACCTAGTCGGGTCACTGTACAGTATAGGTAGGTTTATTGTGTTACTGTAAACTATAGGTTAACCTAGTTCGGTCACTGTACAGTATAGGATAGGTTTGTTGTGTTACTGTAAACTATAGGTTAACCTATAGTTGGGTCACTGTACAGTATAGGTTAAGTTTGTTGTGTTACTGTAAACTATAGGTTAACCTATAGTTGGGTCACTGTACAGTATAGGTTAGCTGAGTTGGGTTACTTTACATCATAAAACATTTGAAAAAAAATAGATACACCTTTACCGAAAGTAAACCTCATATAAGGATTCCAGTCCGAAACGGAAATGGTTATAACGGTTTTGGAAGACAAGATTTCAGCTTTGCACAAATGCCGGTCTTTCCAAAGTAGGATGCAGAGTAAGTTATAGTTAGTTTTAACTGCAGTATATAAGTTATATCATTTCGCCTCATCTAGGGAGATAGGCAGGGTATGGAGAATATCTTATAATGTATTAAGGGGTGAAAATTAATTACTGCGTTCATCTGAAAATATATATTCCGTAACCACGTTCATTCTGCCTCAGGATTTCTTCAAGATCCGTAGGTAAATGCATATTGTCAGTTAACATACTATGTCATCTCTTAACCAGAAACATTAAAATAATCGATGGCACTCAGTTCCATATTTTTACCCCTTTTATATGACACATTAAATGGTGTAACTTCACAGAAATGTCTTCCTCATCATGTTCCTGTAATTGGGGACATACAACAAAGTTACATTGATCGTTATCTCCCAGGTGGAACTTTAAAGGAAATGAACATCAAATCTGTTCTGTAGACGAGACAATACGACTCGGTAAGACATAATAGTAAGAACGTAATGCTGTTTCCGGACACTTAGGATAAAATCTATTTGTGGCATTTCGTTTGCAGGCAACATGCTTGAAGACAGAGTGGCCGAACAGTTTGCGGAAGTTCTGGAAGTAGGTGCCAAAGGGATGAATTATCACCCCAATTGTTATTCACCGATTACTCGAGACCGACAGCCAGATTTATTGTCCAACCGTTGTTAAAAGGGACCTTCGTAACAAGAACAGAGTTAACATTTAATATGTTCACATTCACCAAAACCTCAACGATTCTATACATTCAAATATATACACAAATGACTTTTGCTAATCCTTCGAATGAGTGATTTTACTTGAATCTCTTATACCTGTCAGTAGTCTGGATCAATGAAACAGCGGTGCTTTATGCTCCGATAATAATCGGGTTACCCATAGCAACCATCAGATCCCTATATAGTCGGCTCTTATCACATGGATTACTGGTGATATAATCTTCCCTGGAGTCCATGTGCAGGTTACTTTCCAGGGATCATATTCACCGTCAGTCTATTACCTTTGTTACATATATGTTTGGGTAGATATATTTAGGGGTATTTTTTTAGTTTTAAATCAAAGGAATTACTTTCAGAATAACAAATATCTGCGGGAGTTGGACCTGAGCAGGAACAAGTTTGGGCAGCCCTCTGGTCGTGTGCTGGGACCAGCTATAGGTGTGTTGCTAGACACGTATACTGATATGCCTCTGTCTGACCCGTGAAGATCCGGGTCAGAATTGGTCTTCGGCAACCCATGATTGTCATAAGAGGCGACTAACGAGATCGCAGGGTCAGGCTCGCTGACTAGGCTGATACATGTCATCGTATCCCAATTGCGTAAATCGATGCTCATGAAGCTTATCACTGGATTGTCTGGCCCAGACTCGATTATTTACAGACCGCTTAATACTGCTGTGTGCGGCGTTAACCAACAAACCAAACCAACGTTTCTTCGTCTGGAAAGATTTGGTCCATTTGCTCTCAAAGAAGTGTTACTACTACAAACATGATGCCTTTAAGAAAGTAAATGTGACAAATGGCATATTTGGGATTACGCTCTTAGTAAGATATAAGTTCTCGTACTTTTTGGTTTGAGATCCATTTGGGATTTGAACCTGGACTCTCAGGGTGTGGCACCCAATCGCCAGCAAGCAAGGCAGCGATCTAACCAACCTGGACACCGTGGCTTTCTTAAAAGATGGTAGCTGGTAGTTTAGATCACGTACTTTGTGTGTCCCTCAGACAAGTGTAAATTGTCATAGCTGACATGGACGAAAGCTAAGTACACACAATTCATTTTAGAAATTTTCCGAAGTAACAAATGTTATATTTGGGATAATGCTTTCTCAGTTCATTACAAATTCTAACGCTTTTAGGATGGAGTCACATTCTGAATTGCCCCTTACCGCCAGCACACACAATCAGCTGTCCAACCCACTCAGTCACCTAGTTCCTACTGATTGAGTTGGACAGCTAGATGAATCTGACATGTTCTTTCAGGTGCAAACGACACTTTAGACGTCCTTGACCTTAGCTGGAATCACTTACGTCAGCAGGGAGCCATTGCAGTGGCGGCGGGCATAAAGGTGAGTTACAGACATAACATCTGTTAATTCTTCCAAAACAAATTCAAGAATGTAGCGTTCTCATTTCGGTCGATGCATGTCAAGGGAAAATCGTTGTCCTTTTCGCAGTGCAGTAAAAAACGGTTTCACAAAATCCGCTGAGGCTTTTGGAAAGAGTACGCTTGTGTCCAGGGTGTAATGGTGAAGTGGAGTGTGGGTATAGGAGTTTGGATGGAGTGGGGTGGGGTTATGGGTGGAGTGGGGTGGGGGTATGGGTGGGGTTGGCCTGGTGGTTAAGGCGTTTGCTCTTCAATCAATCATAGTTCAATAAGTACCAGTTTTTACTGTATTTAAGCCCATTTGCCTAAACTTGGGATTATGCCCATTGGGATTTTCTTCGTGAGAGTGATTTGCCTTGGTAAAGCGAACGTCAGTATTTACAACCTTCAGAGTGCAGTCAGAGGATTCCACGTGTACAGAACCAACAGAACGCCAGAGATATGATCTGATACTTGACACGGAAACAGACCACGTAGATGCATACGGATTACATACGGTTTCTATGGAGTTATACAATATCGGGGGCCTGTTTTTTTTATTCAATATGTGCAATTCCCAAATGTCTACCCTGGGCTTAATCATGGTTTTAAGATTTGATTACCAAAGGGGTCATTATTCTTTATTTAGCACAGGTCTTTAATACGTGAATACCTGGTAATCACTAAACCAGCTGTCAGTTTCGAAAAAAGGTCAAGAACTCAGAATGACTTCTGTTTGGACAATGTTGTTTCCAGGAAAACTGTCGTCTGAAGATATGTCGTCTGGCCTGGAACGGGTTCGGACCGGAAGGTGGCGCCGCCCTGGCCGAGGCTTTAGGGAACCATGAATCTCTGCTCGAAATAGACATGACTGGCAACCGACTCAATCAGGACACCGCACTCAAAGTGGCCAAGGCCCTGTCTACGAACGATGTCCTGAGAATATTGAGAGTAAGGATTACGTATTTTCATATCAGCGAACTGCTTGTTACTGAAACCACTGCTCATACTGAAATCCCGATAAACCAGTTCGGAGTGAACGGGTACCATACAGGGGTAGAAATTGTCCGCCGCAAGAGTGAGTAAGTGCATGGACAGAGTTTAGCATTGCTTTTACCAGTTTTCAGTTGCATGACAGGGTGACGGCTTGACGTGGGGGGAAAGCCCGAAGTCATGAAGGTAGCGCCTGTTTGTGGTTATATGGAGACAATGTCTGGCTTGGCATATCTTCATGCTATCGATCACTGTTTTGCCTGTCTATTGTGTTATTTGCTGGGAGGTGAGATATAGATAGACTATTGTGTTATTTGCTGGGAGGTGAGATATAGATAGACTATTGTGTTATTTGCTGGGAGGTGAGATATAGATAGACTATTGTATGCCTGCGGCATAAAGCAACTCTCAGTCGCATTTTCCTTGTGATATTTTACCCTTAGTTCACCTTTCTTTTAATGACACATTTGTGTCGACCATTTTGAAACAAAAGGTGTTTGCACAACAACGAGGTTTGATGGAGACTATTAAACATAGATCTTACATGGTATCGGGTGAACAGGATGTTGTTATAAATTCTGAAGAAAACTGGAAAATATATTGTATTACATACTGAAGACGGATGTTCTCAGAGAACACCTGAAGATGAAGAGTTCAACCTTCATCATGCTCACCATCAGGTATATTTTAGTGCATGTTTAGGGCGTGGTCTGTCGTCTCCACATGGGTAGAATGTATTAGGTCCGGTTTTGGTGCTTTTGTTTTGTTTGTTGTTTAATCCAGCTATATGACAGTCTTTAAACAATGCAGTCCTAACCCGACGATCATACGCCCCGATCTGGCATCATACGCCCCGATCTGGCATCATACGCCCCGATCTACACAACAGGGATATGATGACTTGAATCAACTCAGCGAGCTTGGCGACCTGGTCCCAAATATGGATGGATATATGCTAAAACTAACTCACTCTCTTAAAATAATATTGTACTCATCATCTTGTGTTGTATGTTTGTATTCAGATGGGCAACAACCTCATAACATCAGCAGGTGCAATAGCTCTGGCCATGGCAATCAACCAGTCGGAGAGTTCAGAAATAGAGGAGCTGGATCTGACGGTGAGTACTGATATAGACCCATCTCACAGCACTAGGGGGAACTAGATCTGACCGTGAGTACTGATATAGACCCATCTCACAGCACTAAGGGGGGGCGGATCTGACGGTGAGTACTGATACAGACCCATCACACAGTGAGTACTGATATAGACCCATCTCACAGCACTAGGGGGAACTAGATCTGACGGTGAGTACTGATATAGACCCATCTCACAGCAGTAGGGTGAACTGGATCTGATGGTGAGTACTGATATAGACCCATCTCACAGCACTAGGGTAACTGGATCTGATGGTGAGTACTGATATAGACCCATCTCACAGCACTAGGGTGAACTGGATCTGATGGTGAGTACTGATATAGACCCATCTCACAGCACTAGGGTAACTGGATCTGATGGTGAGTACTGATATAGACCCATCACACAGCACTAGGGTAACTGGATCTGATGGTGAGTACTGATATAGACCCATCTCACAGCACTAGGGTAACTGGATCTGATGGTGAGTACTGATATAGACCCATCTCACAGCACTAGGGGGAACTGGATCTGACGGTGAGTGCTGATACAGACCCATCTCACAGCACTAGGGGGGGCCGGATCTGACGGTGAGTACTGATATAGGCCCATCTCACAGCACTAGGGGGAACTAGATCTGACGGTGAGTACTGATATAGACCCATCTCACAGCACTAGGGGGAACTGGATCTGACGGTGAGTACTGATATAGACCCATTTCACAGCACTAGGGGGAACTGGATCTGACGGTGAGTGCTGATACAGACCCATCTCACAGCAGTAGGGGGAACTGGATCTGACGGTGAGTACTGATATAGACCCATCTCACAGCACTAGGGGGAGCAGGATCTGACGGTGAGTACTGATATAGACCCATCTCACAGCACTAGGGGGGGCCGGATCTGATGGTGAGTACTGATATAGACCCATCTCACAGCACTAGGGGGGGCAGGATCTGATGGTGAGTACTGATATAGACCCATCTCACAGCACTAGGGGGAACTGGATCTGACGGTGAGTACTGATATAGACCCATCTCACAGCACTAGGGTGAACTGGATCTGATGGTGAGTACTGGTATAGACCCATCTCACAGCACTAGGGGGAACTGGATCTGACGGTGAGTACTGATATAGACCCATCTCACAGCACTAGGGGGAACTGGATCTGACGGTGAGTACTGATACAGACCCATCTCACAGCACTAGGGGGGGCCGGATCTGACGGTGAGTACTGATATAGGCCCATCTCACAGCACTAGGGGGAACTAGATCTGACGGTGAGTACTGATATAGACCCATCTCACAGCACTAGGCGGAGCTGGGCGCCTCTTAATATTAGGATTCGCGCTGGCTTCTCGTTTTTTTGCCAAATTAAGTTTTCTTTACTTACGTTCAATACTGGATATAATATACCAGCAAATTCTTTGGAAAGAATATTTATGAATAAGAATATAAACGGCTATACTCTGTAAAAGAATATGTAATCCACAAAAGAATCTTACCTTTATTGTTACTTACCAACTGCTACAATGCCAATCAAACAGTTCAGAATCTTCACCTGTCCGTGGATATCACGATGAGTGAGTGAGTTTAGTTTTATGCCGCTTTAGCAATGATCCAGCAACATCACAGTGGGAGACACCAGATCATGGGCTTCACACATTGTACCCATGAGGGGCATCGAACCCGAGTCTTTAGCGTGACGAGTGGATGCTTTAACCACTAGCCTACCCCACCGCCCCTATCACGATGAAATATAGGTGAAGTGTACTACTGGTTTCTAACATTGTCGATCTGCTACTTCGTTCACGACTCGGCTCTGTGTGCTTTACACAAAAGCTGATAACTCAAGTTCTTTGTGTCTTTTTGATCGTCTTTGAAATAAGGCGGAAGTTCTAATTTCTAAACTTAAGTATTATATTCATTATCCGTGGGAAATATATTGCTACATGTTACATAACACACAGTTTTCTATGTACAGGACGTTCCTGTAGAATACGAATTTCTGCGCATCCTTGAAGACATTCGGGGGAAGAAGCCAACTTTCAAGGTCACCCACGGACCAGTGATGCGTGCTGGAAATACACTAGAAGACTTGGGGAAAAAGGCTATTGACCCTTTCAAAAAGAAGGAACCTGTGATCATCCTCAAGGAACACATCGTCGTGAACGACATGCGACTGGTTGACATCCTCAGGAGATACGACCCCGACGGACTTCTTAGTGTATCGCCTGAGGACTTCGTTGCAGCCCTTGATGACTCTCTCTCGGACTCTCTCTCTGTATCGCCTCTCTCTCTCTCTCTCTCTCTCTGCTCTCTCTCTCTCTCTCTCTCTCTCTCTCTCTCTCTCTCTCTCTCTCTCTCTCTCTCTCTCTCTCTCTCTCTCTCTCTCTCTCTCTCTCTCTTTTTGGTAAATTGACAAGCTGAATTCAATTGCATTTTTCATCCACAAAATGTAGCACAGTGAATCTAGGGTAACATGTCTTGTACTCCCCCTGGTGTTCTGCTTCTCAGGAGCTGGCAGTTCCCTACAACCGGGTGCAGCTTCAGGAAGCTGTTCACAAGCTGGCCAAGGATCAGTCAGGCAGGATATATTTTGGGTATGTTCATCTATACTGGAACCTAAGTCACAAGGCAGCTGGGGACGTGTGCACAAACCTAACACCTATTAAATTGATAATTATGTATCCAGACGAAAGATATATACATGAAGATTCATTAGTCTACATATATATGTTTAGGTGACATTAGGTAAGACCCGATCTACCTGGCGATATTTGGGTTGTATTTCATAGCTTCAACGTATTTAGACTAAACGTGAGTGCCACAATAAGTTTGGCCATCAGGTTAGCCAAGTGGGTAAAGTGTTGTCTCATCACCAGGGACATCCAGGTTCGATTCCGTCCATGGGATGGGTACATTGTGAGTAGCCTATTTGTGCCGTTCTCCGCAGTAAATAAAGGCTGATATATTGTTAACAACAGCATAAACCTTCTCTTTCACTCACTCACTCACTCAGCTGTTCATTGCAGTGACTTCATCCCCGACAATGAAGAGGACAAGAAGGTGACCCCAGAGTCAGAGACGTGATGGACGCTCATATCTGTCAGTGCCACTAAATACTGTTACTCACATCATCGTGCTCATTACCCCTGCTATCTCGAATGTTCGTTATTGTGAAGTCCGGTTAGAACGAAGTAGGTTATGGCAAAATGCCACATGATGACTCCTAACCCTACAACAATTATAATTAACATCATTTGGTTATTTTGGTTATTCTTATTTTAAAGTTTGCACTTTTGTCACATACGGTGTTGGTTGTATCTGGGAACAAAATGAAAGAGTGTCTTTGAACTGCATGAACGTTGGTCAGTGTAGGGGGGGAAGCTGTGTGACAGCTGGGTAGCTCACATCGTTGGTTGTTGATTCCCGACATGGGTACGGAGAGCGGCCTAAACCCGTACTCGTTGAAGTGAGAAGCATCACAAGACGTCCGTTGACACTGCATTAAAACATTTCGGCTGTAATAAAGTAATAAAGGTGTATATGTTGGCCATGCACTAGGACCCATGGAGATTCTGACAGAGAATGTTTCTCAGGTTGCCTATGCCTGTCCTAAACGCTGCAAAGTGGTCAGGTTGAGTGACAAGACCCGGTCTCGTCCTACACAGAAAGGTGGAGATACTTGTAATATATGTTGGGCTATTGCTGAGTATTTCGTTATAGACTTCATCTTAGGTGTAAATATCAGATATAACAAACTCACTCCTCGGGTTACTGCATGGTGTTCGTGTCATTCCTCCAGTCGATCCATGCACTTTACTATGTGTTTGTGGCGAGCTCCGTGATGAACTACATGATGCTGAGGACAGTTGGCTTACATCCCTCACAACTGACTAGAAGTTATATTTCACATCATATTAATGTCATGTAAAGTGTATTCTACTATATTTATATGTCATTGTCCATGTGTAAACGTCTCGGTGTGACAATTACCATTGTGGTAAACTGTTATAAACAAAAGAATGTGCACACGTGTAAACGTCTTTAATATGATAATCACCTTTGTGGTAAACTGTTATAAACAAAAGAATGTGCACACGTGGAAACATATTTAATATGATAATCACCTTTGTGGTAAACTATTATAAACAAAAGAATGTGCACACTTGTAATTTTCCCAGAAATACAAGCGTTATCAAACGTTATAAGGTAGAAAACAGAAAACACTTCACGCTTAGGTCAAAAACATAAACACCCAAACATGAAATACATCCCCATCGAATAACCAACTCTTGTTGGTTTCACTTCAGCCAGCCATGGTTGTCTAATTTCTTTTGTCAAGCAGTTTATTCCGATTGCCATACCAGTTTGAGGCGATTAAACAGGATCACGCTTACATTTGGGATTATAGGGAGCCGTGAGGCAACCTTGTGGTGTAAGCTCCAGATGTATATGTAATATAGATGTATATGTAATATATACTACCCATCGAAAGTTTAGACTCACTAGTGTAAATGTAGCCGCTTACTTCAGTCACCTGTTCGAAACTAGATTTTGCTAAATATTCCATAATGTCACGCGTCCGCCCAGAGAGAGGAAGGTCACGGGTTCGATCCCCGACCGCGTCATACCAAAAGACTTTAAAATATGGTACTTGTTGGTCCCTGCCTGGCGCTCGGCATTAATGGGTACAACAAGGAATGGTCGGCTCGGAATCATTATAATGTGTCTGAGTGGGGTATTCATGCTTCACTGCGGCATGGTATCTCAGTTGGCTAGCACTATAAAACCAGCTTAAGTCTGGGCTAATACAAGCAGCCGCACATACACATACACACGCATGCACGTCGTCATATGAGCGAAATATTCTCAAGCACGACGTTAAAACCAATTTCACCTCACCTCACCTGACCTCACCATAATGTCACAGTAAATGTACTGTTTACACATAAACTGATGTATTGTACAACAAATTCGTAACGTTGAACAAATTATTTTCATGAGTTCAAAAAATCATGAAACTCCGTGAAAATTGGCGAATTCTTAACAAAGCTTTACACCAAAACGCAGCTGTTCACATGCACGACATATGCACATGCTTTTCAGAAAATTGATGCATGATCCTCGTGCAATTCATCTGCATAAGGTTTGAATATGGTTCCCCTATGTTAGTGGAGAAATGCATCTTCGATGTAACCATATACATATACATAACATATAGTGAGTGCTTTAAGTGAGGGGGCGGTGAGGTAGCCTAGTGGTTAAAGCGTTCGCTCGTCACGCCGAAGACCCGGGTTCGATTTCCCACATGGGTACAATGTGTGAAGCCCATTTCTGGTGTCCCCCGCCGTGATATTGCTGGAATATTGCTAAAAAGCGGCGTAAAACCATACTCACTCACTCACTCACTTTAAGTGAGTCTAAACTTTTGATGGGTAGTATAGATCTCCAGTCCTGGTGCGTATACACCTCTGTTTCACCTTCACAGCTGGCACTCACTTTTATGTATAGTGAGTGTTTTTCAAATTACAACCTCAGACACACAACCATCTCAAGATGGCATGTAATAAATTATTTGGACACATAAGTCACTTGGATGGACCCCTGTGTATTTAGAGGACCAATGGTGGAAGTCACATGTTGATCGTTAAAGAATAAAGGATTTGCTTTGTTGGCCTGTGTTCTGATCCATGCACTTACGAAACACAATCCAGTGACGTTGTGATATACGTCATCACAACTACAGCGCGTTCCATACATCGACGACTACAGTGGTGTATGTGATTCAAGAAACTGAGAATGGATTCAATGACACATAATCTATAAGTTGACATGTGTGGCACAGATATCACAGTCGGGATCTCTTTTGGTTATATGGTTATATGTGGCGCTTGTGTTTCTGACAGCTACAAACAAAACACACAGCTGAATTCATATAAGTGTAGCCATTCTCAGACCAGAGTGAATTAAAGCCGCTTGTAGTTTCAGAGCGCTGGTCGTATGAGAATCACTATTCCACAGACGAATCCAATATATGCTAGTTCCAAGAATGTTGGAAGCAGGATCAATCCCAATATCTCATGCTGGTCAACTGAAATGAGGATTGCGTTGTCACCACCACGACGGCAAGAATCTACACATGTGTAACTAACCTGTCTACTTGAATGCATCACCACTGGCGGCACTGTCTTGATTAAATAGCAGATATGTAAAGCACAGGCAGTGTTGTAGCTGTGATGTCGTATCTGAAAGACCCCCAATATATAAGACGACTTCACCCCACCAGTTCATGCAGGTTGGGACCAGTAAAGATCCGGTTTAGAATTGACATTCAGTAACCCATGCTTGTCCTAAGAGGCAACTAACGGGATCGGCTGGTCAGACTCGCTGACTTGATTGACACATGTCATCGTATCCCAATTGCGTGTAACGATGCTGTTTGTCTGGTCCATACTCGATCATTTACAGACTGCCGCCAGATAGCTGGAATATTGCCGAGTGCGGCGTTTAACAACCAACCAATCATAGAGGTTGGAAGTGTATTGAGGAAAGCCAAAGATCAGAAAACTATTAATTGTTCAACTCGACAGGTCAGGGTGCCCGGGTGAAGGTTTGGTCGTGGATGAGGAAGTTCATGAGAGGGCATGTTACTATGCCCAAGAGCTGGGTAGAGAGTTGGAAGTCTTCCTCTAAACTGGGTAGGAACAACCACTGGTATTTGATGAAAGGCGGGTGGATACTCCTGAAAATGTGATCCCATAACATTCAAACAGGATAGGATTTTTAGAGCCAATATTCAACCAATGTGGATAGATATAGCAGTTTCTATAGACAAGGTATTTCCCCCTTGAAAGACCAAAGACAGCTACGTGTAGGGCTTGTATGGAACCAGTCTATGGCAGGACCCTCGTCTACAGTCCTCTTCGTAAACATATCGGCCGTGCTTTAAAGTTCCTCAACCCGGCTCATACCGCCATCGTGCGACCACAGTCAGTCGTGTACAAACAATTACCCTGCATGACCTCTTCGTCATCTCTCCATTTTGTCAACATTCAGTACACCTACATTACTCCAACAGTACCCCTACAGTACCTCTACAATACCCCTACAGTACCTGTACATTACCTCTACAATACCCCTACAGTACCTGTACATTACCTCTACAATACCCCTACAGTACCTGTACATTACCTCTACAATACCCCTACAGTACCTGTACATTACCCCTACAGTACCCCTACAGTACCTCTACATTACCCCCACAATACCTCTACATAAACCCTACAGTACTATACAGTACCTCTACATAACCCCTACAGTACCTCTACAGTACCCCTACATTACCCCTACAGTACCTCTATATTACCCCTACAGTACCCCTACAGTACCTCTACATTACCCCTACATTACCTCTATATTACCCCTACAGTACCCGTACATTACCCATACATTAGCTCTACATTACCCCTACGTACTATACAGTACCTCTACATAACCCCTACAGTACCTCTACATTACCCCTACAGTACCCGTACATTACCCCTACAGTACCTCTACATAACCCCTACATTACCTCTACATTACCCCTACAGTACCTCTACATTACCCCTACAGTACCCGTACATTACCCTTACTGTACCTCTACATAGCCCCCACAGTACCTCTACATAGCCCCTACAGTACCTCTACATTACCCCTACAGTACCTCTACATTACCCCTACAGTACCCGTACATTACCCTTACTGTACCTCTACATAACCTCTACAGTACCTCTACATTACCCCTACAGTACACGGACATTACCCCTACAGTACATCTACATTACCCCTACTTACTATACACCCCTACACAACACCTACAGTACCCCTACCGTACCTCTACATTACCCCTACAGTACACGGACATTACCCCTACAGTACCAGGACATTACCCCTACAGTACCTCTACATTACCCCTACGTACTATACACCCCTACACAACCCCTACCGTACCTCTACATTACCCCTACAGTACCCCTACATTACCCCTACAGTACCTGTACATAACCCCTACAGTACCTCTACATTACCCCTACAGTACCTGTACATAACCCCTACAGTACCTGTACATTACCCCTACAGTACCTGTACATAACCCCTACAGTACCTCTACATACATTACCCCTACACATTACCCCTACCCTGTACATAACCCCTACAGTACCTGTACATAACCCCTACAGTACCTCTACATTACCCCTACAGTACCTCTACATAACCCCTACAGTACCTGTACATTACCCCTACAGTACACGGACATTACCCCTACAGTACCAGTACATTACCCGTACTTA